GTTACCGCGTCAATTACAGCTTAATGCCTCCGTATAGGAGGGTTAGGTTGTAGTTGCTTCCTTTACTAGCTAGTACTATAGTTACCTATCCGGTAGCTAGAGAACTACTAAACGTCGATCTTAAGTATAGCTAACTATATACTATAACCTACTAGCTATAAACTTACTCTACTAATAATACTAGATTTATATAATATAATAGTTATAACTTTCCTAACGCTACTTATTATTATTAAAAGGAATGAAAATAAAGGTCTACTAATCTGTCTCTATAGTACGGCAGTTAGTAGTATGTACGAGGTAACGTACGACAGTCCTACCGTACTTACTTACGAGGTACAAGCTTGTAGCGATTACTAGGCTGTATGTAGAGGTACAATGCCAGTATGTACCTTATGATGTTGGAGGGCGCCGCTTGACAGAGTCAGACAAAGAACACCTGGGATTGTGAACAGTGCCGCGACGGGCGCAGATTCGTTAACCGCCCCCCCCCCCCACCAAATGGTCGCCGCGCACACCGTAAGAAATGGACGTTACGAACGAACTGCATCTTGTGTCGACGGAGTGGACACACTGCTCTATGTCCTGCGATCTTCCGTTGTCTACGGCGGGGAAGGGAGTGCATTGATACGAGTATTCTGGCCGCGGTTTCGTTGCGCTGATAATGACACAAGAATAAGGTAATGATGATACTGGATGCTAGCGGACATTCACCCTCCGAGCAGCTTTCCTTTCCTGTTCCGAAGAGACAGCTGTGTCTAACGGCGCGTGCTCTGCGACGAAGAATTGAGCTCCTGCAACATCTCTCGCGCTGAACCGAGCGTCTGCGTGTCGCCATAGATGGCCGCGACGAGGCTGCTGTCCAGCGAGGGGAACTCGTCCTGCAGCAGCGCAACGTTGCGCTCGTCCTGGCTCTCCGGCTTGGACCGTTTCATCTCAAACTCCTCCATCGCTTCCCGCTGCTCGCCCCTCTCGTTCTCGGGCACGAATCGATCTTCTGCAAAGGTGTCGTTTCGTCGCGGTGGCTGCTGCTGCTGCTGTTGCTGATCGTACGACTGCTTGTACCCGGACTGGTAAGCTGTGTATCCGTCTTCGTAGCCTTTGACGTTCTGCTGTCCCTCTTCGTAGCCTCGGATGTTCTGCTCCCCTTCTTGATAGCCTTCCGCCTTTGCTCCTCCTTCCTGGTGGCCTTCCTGCGAGTGCTCATTTGCCCATGGATTGTGGGAGCCCGGGTTGCCGCCTTGGCCGCCGTAGTTGAAGGACATTTCGTGGCTTGTTGCTGCTGTCTTGCGGCGCGCCGGGATGTTGAATGCAGGCGTGTTTGATGCAATGCAGAGCAGAGCAAAGCAAGAGCAAAGGCAGAGAGCAAGGGCAGAGCAAAGCAGCAGCCTATCATATACATGGATCATCACATATGGGCTTGCTCCGCCGCGTGCATCGTCATGTCATGTGCTTGGCGGTCCATTCCCCTCGATCCATGTGCCCGTGCGCTCCACTAACTCCCGAGTCCCCACTAAGTCCGAGGATACGGTATGCAAATGCACTCGCCAGCTCCATCTCCTCCATACTGACTCGAGCAGCTGCAGAACATGAAGACCGTCTGCATTGTCGGCGCCGGTCCCTCCGGCCTGGTAGGCGCTAAAGTACTCCTCAAGACCAACAAGTTCAACGTCTCCATCTTCGACAAGGCCGACCGGCTAGGAGGCATCTGGGCCCTGGACGAGAACTCTACTGGAGCTTTCTTAAGTCCTCAAACACCCACGAACCTCTCGCGCTTCACCGTTGGCTTCTCAGACCTCGATTGGAGCTCCGTCGACCTGGCGCCGCGAGAAGGTGCAGGACCGAACGGGGCTGCCATCAGATGCCCTCCCATGTTTCCAAAGGCCTGGCAGGTCAATCGCTACCTCGAGGCATATCGACAGAAATACATACCTGATGGGATTATCCGCTACCGTCACGAGGTCACCGACGCTACTAGGGTTGAGCGGGGCGGTACGACTCGATGGAGCATCGTCACAAGGGATGAGCATTCTCAAGAAAGCACATCCGAATATGACTATCTATTGCTGGGGTCAGGCTTCTTTGCAAAACCTCGTCCGCTCTCACACAGTATTCCTGACCTACCGTCTGATTTGTCGGTGAAGGCCATCCACAGTTCTCAGTTCAGGGAACTAGATGACCTCTTCCCAAAGCCGGGAAACGTCGCAGGCAAACGCATCCTAGTTGTTGGGGGCGGTAACTCTGCCGGTGAGGCTGCTGCAGCAGTCGCGCAGCAACTCTCAAATATCAATCATTCCCCACAGAGCATTGCGCGGGGATTATACAAGGACTGCAGCATTGTCCATGTCACCGCGAGACCACTCTACGCGCTGCCACCGTACACGCCGACTGATCAATCAAACACAACGTTCGTCCCACTTGATCTGAAGCTCTACGATCTATCAAAGCGTCCTTCGGGACCTATCGTTGGCAACGCTGGTCCTGTCACAAAAGCAGTGAAGGACATGATTCACAACGCCCTTCAGACTACTATTGGTGGGAACCAAGGCGACCTAGGAGCATCTGCGTTGGCGATCCCGGCCGAGGAGCCTCGCTCGACGGTATATGTAGCTCTGAGTGAAAGCTATCCCGAGTTCGTCCGCAGCGGTCTGATCGATGTTGTAGGTGGCAGAGTCACTGCTATCGAGAACGCCGCAGACGGCACCGTCACAGCACGTGTGACAACAGGTGATGAGTCTCAGGAAATCACGGACATAGGAGCGATTATATACGCCAATGGATACTCTCCACAGTCTGCGGTGGATTTCCTCGGAGACGACGACATCAAGAAGCTGCTTCATTACGATCCCGGCAGCCTTCGTTTGCCCTTACTCCTCCAGAATTGGCAAACCATGGCGGAGGGAATCCCGGAGCTTGCTCTCTTGGGGTTCTACGAAGGACCATACTGGCCCATGATGGAGATGCAAGCCCGCCTCACTGCTGATCGCTGGCTTTGCAATAGGCCACCCGCCACAAGGACCTATGAAGAGATGGAGAAGCTGCTCGAACTCCGTCAGACAATGCAAAAGCGAGACTTGCATGTCCCACAGTACTGGTTCGGAGACTATGCCGGCTACCTAGAGGAGATTGCAACGCATCTGGACCTGCAGCGCAATGATGGAGCATTTGCTGAGCGCGAGGGATGCGTATCGCCAGCAAGGTACCTCTCTCATGATTCGGATAGAACTGAAGCGGATGCCATCATGAGAGATTTGCATCAAGTATGGCGCGCTTGCACCGAGGAGGGAAAGTACGTGGCCCGTGCGATCTTTCGTGCAATGCAAGGGCATTGGAACATCCAGAGAACTATTGACAGTTCACTTCCTAGTTTCCCTTCTGGAACTCTGACTGGCGAGGCCAGCTTTCATCCTCGAGTACCGACTTCGGACACCAGCGGCAAGTCCTTTGACCTGGAGTATCTGTACATTGAATCAGGAGATTTAGTCTTGTCAAATGGCGCTTCAATGCCCGCGAGACGACGCTATGTCTATCGATATTCTGAAGAGCGCGACGAGCTGAGCGTATGGTTTGTGAAGCCAGACCGTGAGCTTGAGGTGGACTACCTTTTCCACAATCTCGCTTTCGTCGGTCCGGCAGAGGCAAGGAAGGAGGAGGCATGCGTGGCGAAGGCAGACCACCTCTGCGTGGAAGACATGTACTGGACCGAGTACCGTTTCCCAATGAGAGGTATCTCGCTGCCGGCATTCGAAACACTTCATACAGTCAGGGGCCCGAGCAAGGACTACGTGGCAACGACAAAGTTCACTCGGCCTTCGAAGACGCAGGTGACTCGATGAGTATAGATCTCACTCTATCTGTCCAAGGTCCGAGAATGGAAACGAGTCTAGAGCAAGCCACAAATCTGGGTCCAGAGGAAAGTCACGAGCCAGAGCCTCCATCAAAGGATCTTCTGCCCCTGCTTCGACCGATTCGACAATTTCTTCGACCCCCATTGGATTGGGAGAAGGTTGTGATGGCCCGCCGCTATGAGTCTCCAGGATAGTGCTCAGGTGCGATAGCCGCTGTGGAGGCTTTGAATTCATCCTTTGGACCTCCTGGTGAAGCTCTTCCAGCACTATACTATACCTCAAACTCGGTGCATTCGTGCGGCTTGCCTCGATCAAGTCCTTCTGTACACTCTCCGCGAGCTGCAGGAGCTCGTCTTCCTCGATACCTTGTGTTTCGGGAAGGCGTCCTTGCTTGCGCTGCATGAGCCAAACGTAGACGATGGACAGAGCATTGAAGCCGACAAACTGCGTGTACCAGAAGACTTGGAAAATGTGAGTTCCTAGACCCGCTGCCAGGATCGTATCTAGCGTCGACTTTGCCGCTGAGATACAAGCATCGACTTGAGCCTCTTTCAGATCGACCTGGCCGGTGTCAAGCAGGAGACTTGGCCGGTTGATGAGCATGAGTGCATGCGCGTGGGCCAATTGTAGGACCGTGATCTGGCGTCTGAAGGTGGGTATGAGACTTGAAGGATGTATTGCTCCAGAAAGCACGACGGGAAGTGAAGCTCTCCAGGCAGCGGTTTCAGCGTTCAGACTGGTCGCCGCTTCTAGTTTCTCACGGCTCGTCTTGCGCTGGGCAGAATACTGTTCTCGCGAGGCCTTCTTGACGATGCGCTCAATCTGTGCATGTAAGATAGCTGCTTTGATGACACTATCCCTCACCGGTCTTTCAGGAGTAGCACCATCCGATGATGATAAGTCCTCATCGTCAATCGCTTCGGGCAGTCTTTGGTCAATATCATCCAGGTGTATCATTGGAGGTCGACCCAACATGGCGCTGAGATAGGTATCGAGCGTGGACGCAGCCCAGAACGTGCGTCGACGGCACTCCCGATTGACCGGGTCGTGGTGTGCTGGGGGTCCCAGGGTTGCTGCGCGATGAATGCCGAGAGCCATGCAAAGCTGTACCGTGGTCCCAAACTTATACCACGCTTCATTCGGGCGGTGGGTATGTAGGAGATGCAAGCAGCTCACGAGTCTTGCTTGCACGGATTCTAGCCGGGCCTTACCTCGCTCGGCTCGCAGTTTCGCCTGCGCAACCTCAAACAGGCGTTCACTGTCCTCCCACGATTGCTGGTCGGGACGCATGACGCCATTACTGTCCGCGTGGAAGAGGCGAGCAGTTGCTAAGACCATGCAGACGATCGCCTGTTGAACCGGTAAGAGGAGGGCCTGGTCCGGACTGGACTCTTGTCGATGGTAGTCTTCCAGCCACCGCCGCACGGTGCCGGCGTGCAGGAAGCGATATGTTGGCATGGCAAGATCAAAGTACTGCGAGGTGAGCAATGCGGTACTCGATCGATCCGGGAGCCGGAAGCCCTCCACTCGCCGGTCCGGCTTGGGGACGTTGCGATCACCATAGGAGAAGATCGACTCGGTCGGATTGAGATCCTCGGATGCCGCTCCGACGAAGTCGGCCTTGAAGTCGTCGCGTTCGAATCGTTGCCAGGCTCGACGGAGGAAGTTGTAGGGCGACGCAGGCCCAAGATACTGCCCGGCAAAGAGCGATCCGCCGTCGGGAGAGGCCGCTCGCGAGGTCCTGGAGTGAGATTCCCCATTCGAATGCGCCGCGAGACTGTAGGAATTGTTGTACTCCTCGTGCGAGAGGGATGCATCTGGCGTTTCATCCGATGGGCCTGACTCTCGCTCTGCTTGGGCCGCAGGCATGGGTTGGACTAACCTACCCCTCGTGTACGAAGCAAAGTACGTGCAATTGGCCTGATTGGCAGAGCAGGCTGAGCATGGCAGCTCTCCGTTGCACTTCCTTTTCCGCGACTTGCAGCTGTCGCATGCTATTGGAATTCTCGTAAGAGTGAGTCTCAGCCTCGCGTGCAACTTGCTCACTCACCTCTCGTAACTTTCTGGCGCTTAGCGCTTCGAACAGGAGAAGGGCCTGCGTCGTCTAGGCTACTATCGGCCATGGGAGTGTTGTTGGAAGGAGTCTTTGAAGTCGCCATGTCCTATCTCGTGAAACCCAGCCACCGAGAAGCTTCGAAAGTGCGCAGCGTGGTAGTAGTGGAAGTGGTTGTTCCAGACCACCTTTAACCGAATTAGGCAGAGTGCGAAGTAGGCGTGGATTTTAGCCAATCATAGGGTGCGCACGTTTCGAAGCCTCTCGGATACCGAACCTCTGTTCGTTGCTCAAGCCAATCAATCCCTTTCCCACCAAACCCGAAAGTCTGGTCCAGATCCGTATCAATTAGCAGCCACTTGGTCGATATTTGGGGAGATCTTCAGCTTCGAATGACAGGCAGGACTGGATCTACGTTGAGGTGAATTCAGTGGGTAAAGCCTTAGCGGGGAGCATCTCGGACCGAGAAGCGGAATCGAGTGAGAGCACCAGACTCCCTGAAGACAGGCAGTCTGTGACAAGTATATATAGTTCAAGCAGGAAGGAAATTTTTCGCTACTGCAGTGATTATATACTGTTGCAGACTGGTCGCAGAGAGGCAGAGGAGTCCTGACCTCACAGTTCACCATCGCAGAACTCAGCCTCACCAGTGGCTGTCAGGACCGTTCCCAACTCCACGCTCACATGCTGAAGACCGCTTCATATGCTAATTCCATTGAAACAGACAGGTCCAGAGTACGTAGCAGACGGGAAGAGTAGAGTTCAAGTGGTTTCGCGTCACCCGTAACGGAACATGTAGCATCAGCAGCGTCGGCTGGACGGTCGGACTACCACATGCACGGCTCGTGGCATAGGGCATGTCATTGATCATGCCCAGGGCTTCAATGGTATCAAACCGCATAAACCGACTGGAAAAGATGAGTTGGAGCGATAGAAGCGCTCAGTGGCTTTAGTGGCGCATCTCAAACGGCGCATCAACCCAACGCGTTCAAGGATTCGTCGACCTCAGAGACAATGAATCATGTGCGTGGATTATCAGCACGCGGGTATCATCAGAAGATTCACCAGCCCAGATGGAGAGCAACCGTAGAGAACCAAAAGGGTCGAGGGGTATCCAGGCACGGCATCATCTCATCATCTTCACGTTCAGCACTTTCTCAAGGCTTACTGTGCTCCAGGCGCTCCTTGGTGCTGTTGCTGTTGCTGTTGAGAAGCATACCATTGAGCATACCACTGGGCGAGCGCCTGCTGTTGTTCACTCGACTGCTGCGCTCCGGGCTGGGGTGTGGCCTGCTGCTGCACCGGCATCTGGAATGCTGGCATCTGAGGCGGCACCTGCGGCGCTGGAGCATTCATGAATTGCCCGTAGCCTGGCACTGCAGGCGGCGCTTGCTGCTGTTGTGAGTATGCATCGTACTGCGATGCTCCTTGATCACGTCCTTGGCCGTGGTTACGCCCGGCTGCTTGGTCACGCTGTCGCACTGTTTCAACCTTCTCCCAGATGATCCGCTCGGCTTCCTGCATACTACGAGCAGTGCCTGCTAAGTCGATGTTACGATGGTGGTCCGGCGGTTTGGGCTGGTTGACGTTGATCTTGCAGCCTGTGGTGCGCTGCATGTCCTTGATAGTCTCTCCTCCCTTGCCTATGATCATGCCGACAGCCTCCGACGGAACTTGAATGGTTTTCTCGATATGGTCTCGGCCACCGCTGCTTCCACCAGCGCCACCACCTCCGCCTCCGCGGGTGTTGAAATTAGGGTTGTCGTAGCCACGGTCACGGCCTTGTGGAGCAGCGCTCTGGGTACCGCCTCCACGGTTGTCGCTCTCCACGATCTCGAGAATGAGCTCTTTAGCCAATGCTGTGGCGCGCTCGCTTCCAATCAGATTAACAGGACGCAGACCATTGACACTCTTGTTCTCTCCGACGATGTTGACATGGCAACCACTCCGCTCCTGCAAGTCCTTGATAGTCTCACCGCCACGGCCAATGATCAGACCTACGGTCTTATCTGGGACCATGATCTGAGTGCTGGCCTCGCCCTCGCGAAGCGCAGGAAGGTTGACCTTCGCTCTACCAGCCATGCCTGCAGTATACCCACCTTTCTCCGGCTGTGTGGGTGTGCCGCCATTCTCCTCGATGATCGTGAATATAGCAGTCTTGGCGTTCTCCCGTGCGCGCAACGTGCCAGAGATGGTACATTGTCGCTCGGCAGTGTGCGCGTCCTTGGTCTGAATGAATTGTACTCGCGCGCCAGTCTCGGACTCTACTTTGCGCAGATTCTCGCCGTTGCGACCAATGATTAGACCAACCAACGATGACTTGACGCGAATTGTCTCCGTCTCGCCGTCGCTACCCCGATTCCCCATGGGAGGATCTCTGGCGCCGCGAAAGTTGCGCTCGGGCGAAGGAGAACGACGGTAGGCGCCTCTTCGAGGGTCTTCGCGTCGCTCATCGCGGTAGGGATTGCCGCCGTAGTTGTCGCGCCGTGGAGGCGAGCGTGATCGCGAGCGGGAGCGCTGTCCGCCGCGACCAGCCAAGCGAGGATCTTCTCGTGGTGTTGAGGAAGCAGCTCGATGGTCGTACGATTGGACGCCGCGCTCGCCGGCAATGTTGCGCGCTTTTGCGATCGCGTCCGCGATGCTGACAGAGCCGCTGTTGATCGGCTTAATGGAGCTCAGGTCAACACTACCGGTATTGGATGGTTGAGGGAGGTACGAGGTCTGCGGAGGCGCGCTCGGAGGCGCACCGGGAATAACTCCTGGGGGAAAGCCTGGCGGGGGCTGGTTAGGAGGTGGGTGCTGAGGTGTTGCAGACTGCTGGGGTGTGCCATTGGGCTGAGGCTGTTGCTGTTGTTGTGCTGTGACAGTGTTAGTCGCGCTGCCGGCAAGGTCTTGATGTTTGAAGGAGCTTGTGTTGGACATACCAAGAGCTGCCAGTATTGAGCTGATGTCCGGTTGCGCAGCCATCGTGGGCCGGCACGCTCTCGAGGAGCTTTTGCTAGCTGTATATGATCTGCTGTGAGGAGTGCGCGACGGTCTCAGCTGTGTCGGTGAGGTGATGGACAAGAGTCGGTGGTGGTGAAGCGCATGGAGGGTGGAAGTTGACTTGAGAAGAGATGAAGGAGGTTTCAAGCAAGCAATGGAGAGCAATCGCAGCACGGACCAGTGGTTTTTCATTTCAGCCAATCACAACTGTCCGAGATCAGAAACGATACCGAGACCGAGACAGCCAATTCACTTCGACTGCACTTCGTCCACAGTCATAAATCACACTCTTCCTCACTCTCACACTCACACCTACAGTCAAATGCAACGTCGACGCGAGGGCACGTGAAAGTTTCGTACCACAGCAGATTGGTAGTATCATCTTATAAATCAAAATGCCGCCCTCAGACAGCAAAGCTCTCCTCGTTGGCATTTCCGGCGTATCCTCCTCCGGCAAGACAACACTGGCGAGATTGTTACGCGATATCTTCCCTCGAGCTTTCATTCTGCACGAGGACGATTTCTACAAGACAGACGCCGAGATTCCAAAAACGGAACAAGGCGTCGCAGATTGGGACTGCCTCGAATCAATCAACCTACCCTACTTCTCAGACACCTTGAGATACATCCGCGAGAACGGACTCTCGCCACCGGATTTCGCGTCCAAGGAAGACCAGAACTCCATCGGCCAAGTGGATGTTGATCGAACACTGGTACATGATCTGGAATGGAAAGCAAGTAAATGGATGTTTGCCGACGCTCCACCGATCGCCATCATCGACGGCTTCCTTCTCTATTCCGAGGGCATGAAGGACATCCGCGACATGTTTGACCTGAAACTCTTTCTCCGGACGGATTTCGAGACCGCCAAACACAGACGCAAAGTAAGAAGTGGCTACGTAACACTTGAAGGCTTCTGGGAAGATCCCCCCGGTTATGTGGAGAATGTAGTCTGGCCCAATTATGTCAAGGATCACGCCTATCTTTTCCAAGATGGCAATGTGGAAGGCGCGTACGACGAGGATGCGTTGAGGAGACTTGCTATCAAAGCTGCGCCCGATGCTGCGCAAGCGAACATGACGGCGACACTACAATGGGCGTACGATGTGCTTGATGAGGCTCTGGATCGGTTCACAGAACCGCGCTTACCGGAAGCGTGACGGAGCCTGAAAGAATGAGAATGATGAGAGATCTCGAGGCAAGTAGCAGTTCACTATCTCGTATGACAAGTCTTTACTGCGAAAAATGTTCACTCGCTGTTCATACTCATTTAGATGGTTCTTTCCTGCTTGGAATTTGATGCTGCCGTCTGAAGCGAAAAGACTATGGGAAGGCTCGCGAACTACAGGGGTATCACCATAATCAAAAGCCCTATACAATCGTCAAAGGTTGCGTAAACGCCCGCTTCCCCGAACGCTATGCTGCAGACTCGGCTATGGCAGTACCTTCAGCACCATTGATCCGATGCTCACCGAGGCCTCTGCCACCCCGGGGCATGCCCACATTTCGGAGAATGTCCTCTCTCCATTGCTTCCACTCAGCCCATTCTTCATTTCGTCGTTCGACTCTCCATCGACTGCTCTCCTTGACTGGTCTCCACGCCAATTTGTTCTCGGGCATCTTACTCAGGTCCACGCTGGGTGGTAAGGTGGCTAAGGCCACCAGTCGCTGCAGAGCTCGCTCCCCTTCACGGTGTACTGAGCTGTGCGTTGGCTTCCGACTGCTACCATTCAAAGGCCCGTGCAGCCAGTCGAGGCCAGCTTTCACAGCGAGAGGAGCATCGGCGGCCGGTAGACGAAGGCGATTGTTGACCTCATTGAGGTACCTGACCGCACTCTCCAACCCAGCGATCTTGTGCTCTTGACGTTTCATGGTAATCCGCACGCTGGCGCCCATGGCGTTTCCATCGAGGTCATTGCCAGTCCTAGTACTCTTGTGCTCGTCAGCAAACCGTGCCATTTCTTCACGCACGCGATCCACATCATGCTGGGCTTCCTGCTTGGCTTGCGCCAGCTCCCGCTTAGCCAACCCTTCGCTCTCCTTTGCCTCGCGCAGACTGCGCTCCAGTTCGGCAATCTTGGCCGATCGTTTGCTTGCATCCTTCATGCGGGCCTCGAGCGTTTCCACCTTGACACTGTATTCCTCGAGCTCCTTCTCCTTCTGTCTAATAACGTCGTCGCGCTCCCGAACGCTTTCCAGAGTACGAGCAAGCTCAGCTTCAATGTCGACAGATGTGATCTTGGTCTGCTTGAGCTCGTCAGCTCTTGCGATCCAGGGTGCGGGAGCTCTCTCAAACTCGACGGTATTGTCCAGATCAGTTGGCAAGTTCGAGAGATCTGCAAGAAGCGTGCTGAGATCGCGCAGCCTGCCATTCAGAGTAGCATATGGGCCAGCTTCGGATTCTGAGAGGGAGAAGACTGTCTTCGCGGCTTGTGATAGTGAGCTTGCCACCTCCGAAGGAGTGGGAGGCTCGATGCGGCCCTCTTCGCCAAACAGCTCCTGAAGACCGGCACCGCTCTGACAGGCGTATGCTGTAATTTCCGCAGCGACATTCTCTGCGCTCTCGAATTGCTCTGTGAGTGACTCCTCCAGAGTTAAAGAACGAGCTTGCAGATCCAACAGCGCCCTGTGTGTCTTGCCGGATGCAACCTTGCCGTGCCTGGCAATCTCAACGATAGCATTCAACCTGTTCAGAATGAGGGCAGTGTCGGAGATGCCTTCGTCTTCTGATTCTTCGTCGTCGTTCGTTGTCGATAAGTGCTTCTCGACCATCGACCTTGCAAGAGTCAGAGCGGATGTTGCACTGTCCAGTCGGCTCTGCAGAACCGACATTCGCATGATGAGGTCGTCAGAATGCTCGGCTAGGCCATCCCGGATGTGAAGACTCGAGAGATGTGTCATGACTTCAATAGAGCGGCCAAGTCGAACCGTCATCTCGCTTTCTTTGAGTTCATCTCTTCGCAGAGCATCAACAAAATCGTTCAGGGTACGTTCGACCACCTCAAGCTCGTACAGAGCCCCTCCGTACTGCTCAAACGCCTGGATGCTGCAGCTGCTGATTGCGTAGACAAGACGATCTGCCATTCCAGAAACCCACGTGAGCTTGTCCGCGGCATCGCACGCAGCAAACACATCCTCATCTTGACCACGGGTGCCAAATGAAGCAATGCGCTCTTTCACGAAGCTTTGCACTAGGTTGGCTTTGAACCCAATGCGCTTGAAACGCAACAAAGCCAGAACGCTGTCCTTTTCTGCCGTAAACGAATCTGGAAGGAATAGTTGCACAATGGACAAGTGCTCAGATGCTTCTTGTGCGTCCAGCTTCCGCAATTCCAAGTCAATGGTCTTTACTTGCGTCTTTGCCGCGCTGGACTGAAGCTTTTGGTTCAGCTCCATCATTGCTCGCGACTTGCCCGACAATTGCGCTGCTTCCGATTCTGAGATCTGTTTGCTAGCTTGGAGGTCCTGCAAATCGCTCTGCAGTTGCGTGACAAGCTCACGGAAGCGGTTGATATTGTAATCGGCTTCGTCCAAAGCGGCTTGCTGTTCCTTAGCTGTCCGCTCTCGATCGAGAAGCAAGCTGTCTTTGAAGTCAATCTCCTCTTGCAATTGCTTCTCCGCTTCCACATGATTTATCTCCAGTTCGTCGTTCAGTTCGCGAAGCGCTTCGAGGTCCTCAATAGCTGCTTTAAGGTCGTTTTCCCTGTGCCTAAGACGCTCGATTTCCTCTCCCAGCTGCTCAAGGTGGATTTCAGCATCACCAGCGAGCTCTAACTGTTCTCGTAAATCGTCGATGTTGGCTTGACTTCTCAGCAACTCCTCCCTGGTCTCTTCGTATTGCTTCTGCAAGGGCTCCGATTCCTGAACTTGCTTCTCTAATCCACTCATCTGCTCCTTAAGCTCAGCCTCTTTGTCGTGTGCAATGTCGCGCAAGCTGATAAGTGCTTCTCTCAGTCTCTCGTTGCTCTTCTCCAATTGCATCCATCCAGCACTAGTCCGCTCTTCGGGACTCATCTCTTTGCTGAGCTCGCTGTTCTCTTCTCTCAGGAGTTCTAGCTCCATTTTATCGTTGGCACTCTGATCTTGCAGAATTTCCAACTCAGTCTTGTATTGTTCAGCTTGCTCTTCGGCAAACTCGCGATCTAGGACTGCCGATTCGAATTCAAGCTCTTGCCTGGCCTTCGACTCTTCTGCCTCGTTATACCGCTTCTCAAAATCAGCGAGCTCCTTCTTGATTCTGTCCATCTCCGCTTGCTGAGGTCGATATTTGTTTTGCAGCTTCTCAATGATGCCTTTGTATTGGTCCCGCTCTTGTTCCGCCTTTTCCAATTTCTGCTTGAGCTCTCGATCTTCGTTACGTTTGCGTTCCATTAATCGCAACTTCGCCTCCAACTCCTCAATCTGACGTCCGGCTGCAGCGGTGCTGCGAACGGTACGTTGAGAATGAACTGAGGTAGCGCCTACAGAGGATGGCCTCCGTTGTCTACCTGGCCGTTCGGCTGGTTCTGGCGGTATGGGTGGTACCGGTGGTGGTGCAAAATTAGGTCGAATGGTATCGTCCCGGTCGGCGTCACCGTCTTCAGTACCCTCATGGCTGGCCAGTTCCGAAGTACTCGCAGCTTCTGACTCTGTACTCTCACGAGGGGAGACAATGCTTGAACGCTCGCTGGTTTCATCTGTAGCGGTTTCCTTCCTCGCCGCCTCCAATCTCTGTCGAATGCCGGGCCGTGCAGCAGGACGTGCAACAGCGGCACTGCCTGAGACAAGACGAGAAGTTGGAGCCCGTGCAGTCGCGGTAGACGAAGCAGGTTGTCGCGAATTCCGTTGTGCGCCGGGACCCGTTGCTGGAGGTAATGTGGATGTCCTACGGCCTGCACCCGTGGTACTTGGCGGCGCGACGCTTGACCGACTGTGTTTCCCAGCAATATCGGTTGCTGGCTTCTTTCCAGCAGCAGGCGGGGTACCTGTCCGCGACGTGGAGGCGCTGGAGGTGCCATTCGTAGCAAGCTGTTTCGTCGGAGACTTCACGGGCGAACGAACACCACTTCCTGGCCTTGTAGCTGGTGTTGGCGTGCTGGGAACGGCGCTACCTCTCCGTGCAGCATCTTGTTGTAATGTCTGCCTCCGTGCGCCATTGGGGGCCCTTTGTACGCTGCTCGGCCTGCCCTTCGCTGGAGCTCCATTTGTCGCTGCTTTTGCCTTGGCTTTCGCCTCTTCCAGCACACGATTCACGCCAGAAGCTCGACAGAAGATACCGTGACCAGATGGGCACTCGAAGTAGCGTTTCCCTTGGACGGAGCCGTCGTTCTTCCCACTTGCTTGCTCGAGCTCGACTCCGATCCACTCGCCGGTCTGGAAGGATGTGGTGCCGACGTAGCGCACGATACCCACCCGTAAGTCGTTGAGTTCGATCTTCTGCCCAGGGGACAGCGTCGGACTGGTCATGTTGATGCGCGTGCCGAGTTCATAACTTCGGATCTAGACGAAGCTCGACGCCTGAGGCTGCTGTAGGAACGTGAAAGTTCAAAGGTTCTGCTCGCGGTATGGCTGGTGGTTGGCGAGTTGGCCAAGTGCAAGTTGTATTTACTGACTGCTTGACTTCTTCTCCACGATCTGGCAAGCCACGGACGCGTTTCTCCTCTTGAACCCGACCGTTGCAAGCGGACGGGCCGACGCGCGCGGCACCGATGCTCGTGACGATCGGCTGGCCTGCCGAGAGCTTCACCTCTGGCCAGCTGCCGTTCGCACCCTCCAACACTCTACATGTGGTCAACTTGCCGATCTTCTCGATACCTCTTCCGCTGACACGAAAAATGTCTCGCTTCGTGTCTGGCGGCACCGATGACGAGCTCAGCCAACGAGATGGAGCGTGGCTGAAAGCTCAGCAGGAAATCGAAGCGAAACGGCTCGAGGCGGACATTGGCAAGCAGCAGGATGGCAAGTCTCTGTACGAGACGCTGCAAGCAAACAAAGGTGTCTCTTACTGCTGCACTCCTGGGAAAGACACACACTGACGTGTTAGGTGGGTGAGCCGCCAAGCAGGAGCAATTTGAGCAGTCAATCCGCTTGTCCAACCAATTCCAGACATTGAATGAAGGTATCGTTGCCTCTAAGTTGAGATCTCCTCCAGGCACAGAGACTGACACATTTGACGTAGACGAGGTGGAGTTCTTAGACTCTGTACTGGAATCCACGCGCGCCCAGGAAGCTGCAGTGAAGAAGCAGACCGCGGAAGACCTCGATGCTTTCCGTAGACAGCAAGAGGAAGCAGAGCGAGCGGCCAAGACAGCAGACACGTCTGAAGCAGTCGACGCGATAGATACGACCAGTTGGGCAGTGAGCCGAAAGCGGAAGAAAGGACGAGAGGACCTTCTTGGTGGAGTCAAGCTACGCAAAGCTTCATCCGGAGACAAGGTTTTCGGAGATGGAAAGCAGGCTGGATCCGAGTCCACGCCTGCCCTGGTTGAGGGTATGGGCGAGAAGTCAGAGGCTGGAGAAAAGACTAAAACCACCAAAGCTGACGCGAAAGATGGCACCCAACCATCTCCGGTTGCTTCGCCGCGAACTAGTCCAGCTACTGCCGCTCCTGGTCTGGGACTCGGTGCCTACTCTTCGGACGACGATGATTGAGCAACTAAAGTTATCAGCTCTGCTCTGCACTCCTCTATCTTATGGGAGCCCATTCCGTGGGCGTAGGGCATAATACATTAGCGTACCATGTATCTGCTCTACTCAAGTCGTTCACGCGCTTCTTGTGCTGCTGTACAGTGTTCCTGCCTACATATCGCCTCTCCTGAGGCAAATCATCAACTAGCCAAGGGTGGTATCTCTGGTATAAAGCAAAGCCAATCGCACACCAAAACTCCGCGCTAATTTCGTTCATAACCGCTGCTCCTTCTTTTCCGCAGCTGCGTGCTGTTCCGTCTTCATCCTGTGACCCAGGGTAACGGGCGTGTTCGGCTCAGACGAATGAATTTGCCGAATTGCTCTGGTCCAACGACGCTGGAGCGAACGACCCTGAGACGCTGTATGGCCGTGGATCATCCGATACTCGGCGCAAGCCTCCGTATTTTGACGACTTCTTCGTCACCGCCTTCTCCTGTGGAGACGTTGGCATGTCTCCTTCGCTCTTCCAAGGCGAAAGCCCTAGGCTGAAAGGATCGCCCCGAGTCTGCCTCGTGTCGTGCTGCTTCCAAGACCCATGTCGACAGTGATCTTTTTCTGCGCTCTCTTCGGGATGATCATGCTCATCTGAAGGCCACCGGGCAAGACGCGCAAAATTTAGTGCGCCATTATTGCGCCGGTTGTTGTCGCGCTCAATCGAAGGATTCACTTCGCCCGATCCTCGATCCGTGGTCATTCGCCGTGTGGCACCGGCGATAGTATCGAACCTAACAATCTTGCGCCAGATTTGCCACACAAAGGGAAGATTGGCCACCAGCAGGGCCGTCGAACTCTCCCTGATGTACCAGAAGCTCCACATGCTTCCAAACGGCTGAAAGAAAGAGTGGATCTTGTTGAGGACGGCTGCAAGTATCACGAAGACCCCTAAGGAGAAGATCAGGACCAGAGGAAGCTTCTTCTGCCTGGTGTCGCGCGTCAGCGTGGACATGGACATGGACGAAAGCGCATGAGACGTACCATTGCAACTTCATCGTCATAAACATGGGCAGACCAATAGCCAGCAAGATAGCGTCCGAGGTAAGGTTGAACACGGCGTTCGTGATGAGATGATTCGTGGCCGCATTACACTGCGAGCTATTGGTGGGGATTGCCCAGTATTCGTAGAAGGGTCGACACCACACGCCAAAATACAGGATGTCCATCACCACGAACGAGCCGACGACATATCCGAGGAGGATTCTGATGCCGATGTTTTGCCAGCGAAGGGTAGTGAGTCGCAGGTAGAGAATGAGCAGGCAGATCTTTGCTCCCCAGATCTGAAGGTCGGACTGTCAGAATACGTCTCCAGTCAGTGCCGTCGAGGCAGACTTACAGTAACGCATTGGCTCTGTTCCACAACCAGAACAAGTTTGCTGCCGAATATCCTGTCGTTACGTTCATGGTCGCTCAACGTTCCGATGTCGAAGCCGGCAGGGAACAAATTGGAGCCTTTATCGTTGACAATGTTGATGGTTGCAATCTTCCAATGAATCGTCAGCGCGAGGACAGATCCAGGGACGGCTGTTGCTCACGACGCACCACAGTTGTATAGAAGCACAGCACGACCATCATGCCATAGTCATCGCTCTGGTATCGCTTGAACGAGCCCAAGGCCATACGTCTCGAGATGCTAGCAAAGGGTCAGGATTAGCGGAGAGAATGACATATCACATAATGGCTGGCGAAGTCGTACAATCTGCTGCCGGCAACGAAGATGACCGTCGCCCACCAGATCCAGCTCTCGACGATGAGCGGCGTCATAGCCACGTTACGCAAGTCGGGTATATTCGGGACCAGGATGTGAAAATGGAGAGATGGACGGCAGCCGGGAGGAGCATGATGCTGGGGGAGAGTCGCCTCCAGCTTATATGGTGGAGACGTAGAGGATAGTGTGTGGTAGAGGAGAGCGAAGTGTCGTGGTTCAGGAAAAGAGGTGACGATGAGGCGGGAAGATGCGGCGCTGCAGGCGGATAATAAGAGTGGTCGCCGAACAAGCTTTGGACCGTGCGCACCCCCGTAGACCGAGTCTCGCGCCAACGCCTCGCACAAGACAAGTGTGACAAGATAGCGGATGGGCTACGTACGTAGGTACATGCACAACATACAACTTAGATTGTGTGATGCTCAGCACATGTAGAAGAAGACACTGGCAACGTCATGCTCGGGCGCGCCCTTCACACTTGGCCCCGCAACTCGAAGACACTGCACCGACGAGGGTCCCAAGAAACGTGGCGTGGGTGCGCCTCGAGCTCGGGCGCTGCACACTGCAGTGGACGCGCGTGGCATAAAGTCTACCGGGGGCGCGGAATCTGGATCTTCGCTGGGACTTGGAAGCTTCGAGCACGCGAGACCAAAACTCAGTCTGCCTTTTCTCAAATCGTATCTCACCAACACATGATGATCTTCCTCCTTCCTTCACGCCAACCGCAGCATCGCCAACCAGACCCATCGCAGCATCAACGCATCCAGCAAGGTCTAGCCCTCTACGCGGACGTGTGCTGAGAATCCGACGTCCGGCTTCGCGGGTGAGCCGTGCCCGACCATTTCCCACCGCAGGATGCAGGAACGGAACCGCGTCCATCCTCTTGGGACTCGGACATTGTACTTCAGGTCATGCCAAATACCAGGTACATTGTACCAAGCTTTCGGTACTGAACGCCCTTTTCTGGTCCAAGTCTCACCTGAAGTCTGGGGATAGAACAGTACTCGCGAGCCTCATCCCTCAGGATCCTCGAATGTTCTCGCCAGCGTTTCAAACACCAAGGCCCAGACCGCCATCATCGCCTTCGACGACACATCTTCACGAACAGCCGCCAGGCCTCTGATGGACATGCCGTTCGTTGAGCCTCTGGTTTCCGTCTTCGTCCACCATCAGCTCGCACGACCAAGCGGTGGAAGAGCATCCGCTCCTGGTTCTCGTGCGATGGTGGCATTTTCGTGGCAGGGTTGGTCTCATGGGCTCGACCACGTCCATCTCACTTACGATTTCGGTGTTGTGTCTAGAACTGGAGTGCTGCCTCGAGTGTCGTGAGCCTTCACGTACTGCAGAGTCGCCTCGTCGTCCGCCTTCGCGACTGTCCTCTGATGAAGTCGGCGCTGCCGGTGCTGTGTCTTGGTCGGTCTGGTGGGCGCTTTGCCTCTCGCGTCCCGTAAAAGAACGCTCCAAAGGTCGGCGATCTTCCGCATCGGCGTCGTGGGTCTGGTCATTGCTACCTGCGCAAGTTGCTTCGTCCTCTTTGATGACTCGCAGTTTACTAGTACGCGACCTTCCTCTGGATACCACACTGGACTGTCTGGAGTTCTTGTCGCTTGCCGATTTCTGTGAGGCCGTCTTCGACTTCTGTGGAGCAGCTGAGACAGAAGTCTTCGGCGTCAGGTGCTCCTGTGGCCCCCTAGAGGGTGAACTGCCAGGAACCGACCTACGTGATTGCTTTGAGGGAGACGCGCTGGAGCCCCGAATAGAGTTGGTTGTTGTATTAGAACTATGCCGGCAGTTACAGCTAGCTGCTGACGGAGAACCTCCATGTCTCCCAAGATTCTTCGCCTTGAGCATTGACGAGAGCTCACTAGGAGAGCACCTTTCGTATTCAACATCAGCTTCCTTGCCTCCTCTCGAAGCGCTGCGATTGCCAATTGCTGAATATGAATGACTTTGAACGTCATCGTGCAATGGCGATGAAGACGGACTAGGCATGGGTAACCTTTCCTCTTCTAGATCCCCATACGTGGAGGCGGCTGCTCCTCCCTCCAGAGAGCCGTGCTCACGGGAAATACTTCTACTCCGCGCCCCGCCTGCCGACTTGCGATCAGTTCTGGACTCTCTGGATCGATTCTCGCTACCCTTGGCCATGACCTCTCCTATGTTCGGCAATACCATCTCCGGTGGTCCATGACTTCGACTTTCGGACGCTGCACCAGGCCTATGTTTTGCTCTACTTCCTTTCGATTTAGTTGACCTTGGGCTTCCGCGAGAGCTGTCTCCCTTTCTGCTCTTGGTGCTTCCAGTTTGATCTCTTGAGCGCGCATCGGAAGCTTTGGTGGAGGCCGCAATTGCTGGACCATGGACGTCGTCAACTCGAGCTTGATGAGTTGCAGCGCTCCCGCCAGGCCGGATCGAGGCGGTCCTCGATCTTCTCGACCTTTTGTCGCCCACTGTCATCTGCGCTTCCAGCGAGTCGCTACGCGGCAATCTTTTCACGCTCGAGTCAATTGAAGTTGCAGAGGGAGGAACAGCGGCAGCACTCGCAGCGATTTCCGAGTCTACTCTCGATGGAGACTCATGATCCGCCTCGCCTGCATTCGCGTCTGCGGCATCCGCGGCCAAGTCTCTTCTCCGCTTCGAGATTGTAGATGGAGCACGCTCAGCCTTTTCTTCTCCCTGGGACTGTGATACTCCAGAACGTCCTTCTTCTCCGTCGGAGTCTGCAGCACGAACGGCCCTGCGTTTGCGTCGTTTCCTCCGCTTCGAAGCGACTTCTCTTTCCAACCTCGCGACTTTCTCCTCGGCACTCAGGAGATTCGTATGCACAGAGGCATACATGTCCCTCAACAGGCTCACCTTCCTCCCATCGCCGCCCTTACTGCTGGACCTCAGAAGCTTCAGGAAGCTGTTAGCAACGCCCGGCACAACAGCGAGCAGCCCATCATCACCACCACCACCACCGCTCCTCGATTTTCCGCTTCTACGCCCTCGTTCCTCTTCCACGTCCAATCCCAGTCTCTCCAATTCCTTCTCGACTATTCTCAACCACGGTCTCGTCAACTCCACAGCCTCGCACAAAATTTCCAACGCAAACTCCCCATCCCTCTCGTACCTTGAACTGTTCCTGGTGGTCTTCACAGAAAGGGAAGCCACTTTCCTCAACGTTCTCCCGAGCGGCAACGAAAGCGCCGTAATAGTGGCGTCCGTACTGGTACTTGTGGTCTGCTGCTGTTCGTGTTGTCGCAGCTCCTCGGTAGCAGAAGTCATGTCCCTGCGCCGCACGACAAGTTCAAGCATGCGACCTGCTGCAGGTGCAGGCAGGAGTGCGGAGAATTTCCAATGCAATGCAACGACAAACAAACTTGGTCAGCACGTCGTCGTCGTCAGATGTTCAACAGCAAAGAGAAAAATGAGGTCACGAGCTGGTTGGTCGGGGATGATCGGTGACTCTGGCTTGTGGCCAGCAGGCCTGTGTGGATACACGTCGTTCGGCCAAAGGGGTAATCGAGCCCCGGCGGTACCGGGAAGATCGCAGTCAAATCTTTGGCTTCTTTTGGATGGAGGGCGGTGAGAGGTGTAGAGATCCTCATCGAACAAACCTTTGGTCCTGTTGGTGATTGTGTGTCTTTTTTGTGTGTGATATCCAATGCAACTTACCCTCATACCAGGCCAAATGCTTACAAGTTTGAAAATGACTGGTGACCGCAGTTGTCGTGGACCACATGCCAAACTACACTACGCCGTGCCACACGCTCATGCTCATGCTCATGCTCAGTCCTCGTGACCTGGCGCCCTCCTTTTGCGCTCACACGCACTGTTGTCAGCTTGTCAACGATCTTGTGAAAACGCTGTCTCCTTCGCAATCGCCTGTTGCGTCCCAAGTGGTCATTCCAAACCGTGCCTGCTCGATCTGTCCCGAAAAGGCTTCATGCTATGCTCTCATGCCAATATCACCGTCTCCAGAAAGCAGAACGCGCACTCAAGCGCTTCTATGCGCTCGCTTTGGCATCCTCCGTTTGAGTCACGGGTGGCGGCGATCCCGCGGCTGCCTGTGCCTTGATGTTAGGAGACCCGATGCCACTTGGCGTCTCTTGATGCACCGCGGCACTGCCCTTCTCTCGGAAAGTGCTGACGGCCGGGATGTTAGCAGGCACGCGTTCTTCCTCCGTCTTGTAGGCTCGCGGCGTGAGCTTGATCAGTGTGTGCAAAGGAACCTCCATCCAGGGCGATTTATCTTGCGGGACTCCCATGAAATAGGCGTAGATGCAACGAAGGACAGCTTGGTGGGTAACGATCAAGATGTTCTCGGAGCGCTCCAGTTCCATAATAATAGGCTCCAGACGAATGACCACGTCGCGATAGCTCTCCCCTCCTAGATAGCGGTAGTTGTATTTGTCATCATCGCGTGCCTTGAAGTCTTCGGGATACTTTGCCTCAATCTCGGCGTACGTGAGGCCATCGCAAACGCCGGAGTCCAGCTCATCGAGCGCCTTCCAACTGAGCTTCTCGTAAGGCAAATATCGAGCTGTCTGAGCGGTACGTTTGAGGGTCGAGGTCCAGACAGTGAGCTTGGCGTCACCAGCAGATTGCCGCACGAGGCCTGGCAAGCCCTTGGCGTACATCTCGCCACGTGGCGAGAGATCAGCATCTCCCCCAATCTGTCCGCCGAGGTTGTACATGGATTCTCCGTGCTTGAGTGACATGCTTGTCAGCAGTTTTCTCAGTTCTCACAAACACATGAAGACCTACCCGGCTTATCCAAATCGACCTCGGCTTGATGTGGAGATTCATCAGGTAGTAGACTACTCGCGACTGGAGGTAGTCTTGTATCCGGTTGATGATGACTTGCGCACCGACATCGATGATCTTGCAATATGTCATGTCGGATTCGTCTTCGTCCAGTGTTTCGTACACCCTCTCGTACATCTTGATTCGTTCCCGGAAGTCCTTGGCGGCTTCCTCAGGGTCTTGTCCGGAGTAGTCCGGGCTGGTGGTTTTCACTTCGAGGATGTTGCTCATGATGATCTCTTCGTTGTCGCACTTGCTCTCTACAAAGAGCGTCTCGATGCCCTCGGCGTCACATCGCTCCTTGATCCACCTTCTCCTAGCCTTGGTGCTGTTGGTGGCATCGAGGATCGCAATCAGGTTGTCAGGCGAGCGGAACCATTTGCACATATCTGCGACAGCGGCCTCCGCAGCTGCTTTTCGCAAGCGCTCGCCCTCTTTATTGGACGTGTCGAAGAAGGAGGCATTTGGCTGAGGTGTTGCTGTCCTGCGGTAGTTACCCACATTGAAACACCCGGCCGTTATACTGAGCCAACCCAGGTATCGCACCACTACTCGACTGATCAGCCACGGCAAACGCTCCTCTTCTCGTCCTACATACCCTTCTGAGCAATCAGACTCTTGCCCCTTGCGGGCAGGCCGACCATGACGACGCATATCCGAGTGTCTTCGACCTGCACGCCCACGCCATTAGTCTTTGCGTTCGACGTGTTTCTTGTCCTGGTTGCAGGACGCATGAAGTCGCCCGGAGGAGACTGCATGAGGTTGGGACGATATTGCTCGGGCTCCTTGGTTGGGGCGTTGGGTGGATCGGCGGAAGGCATTGTGGATGAGAATGAGTAGTGGGGACTGCACGGCGCAGGAATGTTGTCTAGAGCAGTACCAGTTCAGAGAGACAGTGTTGGCGACTGTGAAGGCCGTGCCCAGAGCCAGCTGAGGAATCGTGCCTGTGCCCGTGCTCGTACCAGTGCTCGTACAGCGAAGCCAGTCCAATGCCTTGGAAGTATCGTATGTATGTTGTTGTTCCGCGGCAACTGCCTCTTTCAATGCGGATATGCGAATCTTGAATGATCCGTCCTTCCTTGCGCTTGTGCTCCGATGCTGTTTCCCGGGAGTACCTCCTTCGTAACCGATTGAAGTGGACAGAAGCCGAGTGACAGCGAGAGGGTAGGTATGGAAGAGTCGTCGGCCAGGAGAGGTGTTGGTGTTGCTGCTCTCAAATCGGTGCAGAATATTCACAGGTGCAGACGACGCCGTGCAGTGCAGGTGCTGTGAAGCGAACTACCAGCGGCCAGCGCTTTTCGTCATTTGCAGCGAGCTCTGGGGCTATCCGGTGCTCGGCGAAATTCGACGTCCACTCGCCCACCAGCAACCAGACGCGGACACGACGGAGGAGGACCCCATCACATGATGTGGATGATCAAATCGTCTCTGACGACATTTCTTCACTCACCCGCGCAAACGTATAGTTGGTCGAGCTCGACCGCTCTCGCTGTTGCGTCGCCCCGCCGTCGACGCTGCCGTTCATCGTGTCCGAAGATCTTCTCCTGCAACAATACTGTCGGCGTCGGCGATGGACGAGTCTCTACCGGTGCCTCTCGCGGCGAATGCTGAAGCTTCTCCAGTCCAGCTGGTTTGGTCGGCAAAGGAGTCGATGGCGAAATCGATATCAATGTTGAAGACGACAAACGACATACGACACCGCACAAGAGATAAGGTGCGGTCGGAGGCTCCTCTCACTTCTTTGCCTGGCATGACCCGGGCTCCTTGCCAACGCTCACTGCCACGTGCTCCCGCAATTCCCGCACCCTCTGCGCGCAGCCAATCCATTGCTGATCGCCGTTGCTTTTCCCTCTGTGCCTCCTCTCACGACGATCTGCTACGCGACCTGTCCGGCATGCCTCGGCAGCCTCCGCGCAGTGCAACATCGTGATCGACCGTCGTCGCTCCAAGCATGTCATGCGGTCACTCGCTTCAGTCATGAATCAAACATCGAGAAACGGAATCTACGTGTCATATAGCCGCTGACATTCGTTCAGCTTCATGTGCATGGTGCTCTCTACAGCTAACGTGTACACATGCCGGCGGCGCATGGTCTTGGAGAAACTAGAAGTACATAAAGGTGCTACAAACAAGTACTTATGGCGGCACCGCGAACCAGCTTCATCTTACGCCATGGCTTCACTCATTGCGATGCATGCCGCGATGGATATTGCAGATGGTGCCGACATGCTTGCAGATCCGCTGCAGGAGATGACGACGCTGAGTTCCTCGAATGCGTGCTTTCCATTGATCGATCTCCTTGAGCATCCAAGCATGGCGAAGCTGGCTTTCATCCATACCTAAACCGTACGCCGGCTAGGCTTGCCTTCTTTTCAGTGACAAACTGCTCTGAAGATGAAATATTTCAAGCAGACCATGGCTGGCCATCATCTGAATCATCGGCTCCAAAGTCCTTCTCCATGCCATGCCATTGGAGAGGAGGTGGTGCTCTTACATCTTCAAGGGTGCTCACGAGATAAAGTCCTTTGCTCGTTCCCTCAGTCCTGCTGCACTCCGCCCCGCATCCCAAAACAACGATGCAGCTTCTAGCACGTCGGCACCACTGATGATACTATTTTCGCTACCACGAGCACGCGCTAGAATGCTGGCCGGTGCAAGGAGCTGCAACGCGTAACGCAGAGAAACGGTCTCGCCACGCTTCGTCAATTCATCCAGTGCGTCTTGGTTCAAGGAAGCGGTGACCTTGAGTGCCTGCGGGTTGTCTGCCAGCTGCGGAGCCGTGGGCGTTGCGAATTCGAGCTTAGCCCGCGTCTGAATGATGGTGCGGATCTCGTCTCTGCTGTATGGATGCGTTGGAATGATCAACAGACGGGCAAGAAGATCCGGTGGGATACCATGAGCTGAGATCAGGCCCGGATCGTTCGCTTGCAAAGAACCTGTTCCCCGAATTGTGGTTTGCCCCCTGTTGGACGCAAGGATTACGATGGGTGATATTGTTGATTCTAAAGCGCGGTTGAGGTAAGTGAAACACTCAATGTCAAGCATGTGGACCTGTTCTGTTGTCTTAGCATCGAATCGATAATCGCCAGCAGGGTACTGACCTCGTCGATGAACAGCACGCCAGGCACCAGTTCTGCAATGCCTTGATCGATGTATTTGTTGACGACCTTGTTGATCTCTCCTCGCAGCTTCTCCGTGATCTCCGTCTTGCGCGGCTTCATGAGTTGACCCATCATGCTCATGACATCCTGACCACCCTGCGGCCGCGCATTGGCTACATCAAGGTCGTGTAGTGTGACGTCTTGCACAATGTCTTTCTTCTTGTGAACATCGCCTTTTGGCACCGGCACATACTCCTCGGCTTCCAGATCGAACTCGGTCGAGAAAGCATCGGACCTTCCTACTCTTTTCACAGCACCTGTGTTCGCCTCGATGTAGATGACGTCTCCAAGCCTGACGCGCTCCTTTTGGATGGCCTCATATATGCTTGGATCTAGTCGTAGCTTCTTGGTACCCTTAGAGCTTCGCAGTGTGATCAGAAGATGTGAGATGGTCCTGCCATATGCGCCAAGCGGATTTTCACTCTCCTCCGGCGTGAGCTCTGCAACTTCTCCTTCGTAAACCTCCTTGCGCTCTTGCACGCGCAGACCAATTGCTCTTCGGAAGTTCTCCATCAAAGCCTCCGTCTTCTTCACCTCCGCGCTGTACACTTCGCTGCCAGTCATTGGGCAGAAAGGCACCTTTGTGCCTAGCTCCTGCGAGACTGCGAGTGCCATGGCCGTCTTGCCTGTCCCTGGCCCACCTGCCAGTAGCACCGCCTTTCCGGCCATCTTCTTTGCCCGAATCAAATCCACCACGACGCCACATGCCTCTCTTGCCTGCTGCTGTCCCACAAACCCCTGAGCATTGGCATCTGCGAAGCCGTCTGATCTGAGACCAAGTCCTCTGATGTGTGAATGCGCAGCGGTGCGATTCTCTCGTGTGTTGCTCTGCTGGACCTCTCGTATCTGCACTTGTTGCGGACCTGCTGTCTGGCCTGCTGCAGCTGGCTGCGCTGGCGCTGCAGCGCCGTTCGTTGCCATGTTTGCGGCTCAAGCTGGCCCACGCGAGCTCAAGGACAGGAAAACCTGAGGCCTAGAAAGATCGCCGTTCTGTTTCCTCAGGTATCCAGTAAGTCGGGATTTCGAAATCAACTTAACTGCTTAGATGCCGTTTCCTGCGATGCTAGAGCTGTTGTTTCTGGAAACGCGATGGTCGCGCTTCACGAAACGAAACGGAGTCTAGCGGCGCGGTCCGTGTCCTTCGCTTACCTAGCCAATGGTGCGTCAGGTAATAAATGCCCTCGCTAAGCACTTACCTTCGTCATTCTGCTTTGAAACTCCCGCAGCTTCGCCTTCAACACCTACTACTCAATCTTCCGACATTCTTAGACGCTCTTTCCTTAAGATTGATTGTCCTTCCTAATACTGCCGACCAATATGGCCACATTAAGAACAGCCGCGCCGTCTATATCGACCATCTTCCGATTCTCCGCTCAACCTGCTGCCACTCGGCGATGCGCACATTGTTTAAAGGCGCAACGATGTCCCTTCTCCTCCTTCAGACCCAAGGCCCAGTCGAGTAAGAGGCCTCTCATGACCGAATCAGCACATCGGCCGCAAACGCTTGGACCCGAGATGCCACCACCGAAAAATAGCGGGTCGCCAGACACAAGCATATCGGCCGGCCAACATCAGACATGGCCTCCAACTGCGCCCTGGGAGCGGAAAGATGGAGGGTCAAGAGTCAGTGAGCGGGAGGGCGAGGCACAAAAAAGCAAACCCACCGTGGCTTCAATGACTGGCGCAGCAGCAGCGAAGCCATCTACAACGCCTGAGGCAGCGGCGGCGAAGCCAAAGAAGAGCAAGCTCAGACCCAGGAAAGCGCCCATCACATTAACACCCAAGGCAATTGAACAGCTACAAGCCCTGTTCGATCAACCGGAGAGCAAGCTCATTCGAGTGGGTGTGAAGAATCGAGGTTGCAGCGGCTTGGCATATCATCTCGAATATGTGGACAAGCCTGGAGCATTCGACGAAACAGTGGAGCAGGACGGCGTTAAGGTGTTGATTGACAGTAAAGCGCTATTCAGCATCATTGGTAGCGAGATGGACTGGCTTGAGGACAAGCTAAGTGCTCGCTTTATCTTCAAAAATCCGAACATAAGTGAGTACTTCCGGCGTTTGAATTTCCGCGTAATTACTGACACTGTGTGCAGCGGAACAATGCGGCTGCGGCGAATCGTTCAGCATTTCATGAGTATGATCAAGATCAGCATTTATATCTGCATTGCTTGCGTTCGAGCGACAGGCCCCTACTCAGCCATCATCTACATGACTACAGCACTCGAATCGCTAGAATTTGCCAGGCTCGAAATCGAGCACTCGAACATTCTGTACAATCTCCTTCAACGAAGCCACGAATTCCAGATGTGCCGCGTCCTTCTCGAGGTAGTACTTTCGATCTTCTTCGTTCTGAAACTCGCTCACGAAGCCGTGCGAGAAACCGCCCTACAACGACAGTCAGATGTTTCCAACACATGTGAGAAGGCTCTGGTACTACTTGTAGTCCTTCCGGGGATGTGTCTCGTCCACCTCCGTAAGACCGCACGTATCTCTCCTTCGTCTGTGGATGTAGACATTTGTCTTGAAGCGCTAGCATACGTTTGCAGACCTGCCACCTGTTTAGTGGGGTCAAACGATCCTTCCAATTTACATACATCTTCGACTTGAGCATGTGTTGTATTGGGCTTGAATTCGAAAAGGACGATGTGAACAATGGGCATCTCGGCGGCGTCTGCTTCTTTCGGGCAATTTGTTTAAGCGGTACTGAAGATGTCTCACTGTCACATCCGTGGATTGGAAGTGAAGAGGTCTTTCGGCTTGTGGAAGATGGAGGATGACATCGTCTTTAGTAAGCGTCGACTAACTTGCATTGAGACGCGGTAGATAGGAGCGAGCTCGGCAGCGTCTGTGAGCATCACGACACTATTATTATTGACTTTGACGCTGCGGCAATCTCGCAAGGCATGACGACGAACGCTTGACCGCAGGCACGCGACGGGCACTTACCTCAGTACGACATCTCGGCCTCTGGCTGCCTTAAGGAGTCGCACAAGGTAACAGCAAATGCAGCAATCATGGCAACGCCAGAACGACCCCTTGATGTCGTTGTGCGCTTTTCCACGCCAATCCCGGACATGACGGTGCGAATAGATGCGCCGAGTACCACATCGATCCTCACGCTCAAGGAGCGCATCCGCGACCAACTGCAACAGCAACACGCCGCGGCGCGTTTGCGATTGATACACGGGGGAAAGGTCCTCTCGGAAACTGCAGCATTATCTAGGAGCGTGCAGGTCACGCTGCCACCGCCGGCGAACAGTGATGGAACGAAGAGCGAGAAAGCGAAAGGAAAGCAGCCGCTTCGGGCTACGGTACAAGCTGCTAGAGTGTATATACACTGCTCAGTAGGCGATGTTCTCACGCTGGCGGAGCTATCTGAAGAGTCGAGAATGGCCCAAGAAGCGGATAGTGCGCTGAAGTCTACAACGCAAGCGCCCTCTGCCGACACTCCAGGTCAGGGCCAAGCGAAGCAGGACCATGTCACGACGACGTCGGCTCCTCGTGGATTCGATCGCCTGCTTTCTGCTGGCTTTACAGCTTCCGAGGTGGCTGCTCTGAGAGCCCAATTCCTTGCTATACAAGCACATACTCATACCCCAGACACCATGCCCACCGGAGCGGATCTCCTCGCTCTGGAGGAACGATGGCTGGATAACACATCCAACCCGGCAGCTGGGGGTGAGTCGGACCCCAGCGGACTGGGCTCTGAGGAAGGAGGTCTGGAAGACATGCTCTATGGCAATCTGGTGGGATTTTTCTGGCCTATAGGAGCCATGTGCTGGCTTATGCGAGAGGAAGGTGTCTGGAGCCGGAGACGGCAGATTGCGGTGCTCTCGGGCTTCCTTGTCAACTTGACATTTGGCTTCCTTCGCGTCATGAACTGACTACAGAGCTGTCATTGCCACTGAGGACAAGGGTGGACTTAGCGCCGCAGAACACATTTTGCACACTTGACAGCCCTGGTACTTCTCGCCAGTCTGCAATGAAATCTTTCTCATCGAGCCCGAGCTGGCCGTTCTGATTGTCCCCGACCATGAAGAGGCGGCCCCCTTCTACCCCAACTGCGATGTGGTTATCGCCAAGCGCAACGTCAAGCACATCCAGGGGCTCACCATTGCTATCTGGTATCTCCACAAGTGAGACCTCTCCAGAGTCGGATGCACCCAGACACTCTATGCCTCCGGCGGCTTCAGGACTCGTTGTACCCCAGACGTACAGGGCGCCGTCCTTTGACAAGGCAGCATTCATCCAGCCACCTGTCGCGACCTTGGTGATCTGAAGCCCTCCTAGTGCTTCCAGAGCGCCGGGCTTGTCGGCGGAAACTGCACCGTCGCCAGTGACAGGCCTTCCAAGGGACTGATATCTCCCGTCGCCCCAAGTAAAGACTTCTCCGTTTTCCATGAGCAAGATGAAGGTCCCCGTGCTTGCCAGGAGCTGTTTGGGTCGGCCGGGTAGCATGTAATGGCATTGTGGATAATTGCTTAGACTGCTGGGGTCTGCAAACCATCTTTGGAATATTTCCAAACACGCAAACTCAGCAACGTGACACAGGTTACTATTTGGTGCTTGCTTGAACGACAGCGCTACCCGCCCACTGGAAGAATAGCAAACATTTCCGAGCAGCGGCGAATCGTCGTCGCTCTGGCTGACCAATTCAGGTCCTTTTTCCGAATCCGCCTTATGGCACACAAGATGCAGGTGACCGTCGTCGTCTAGACATCCCAGCATACCCTCGTGATCCCCGAAGCCGCTTCGCAGTCGCTTATTGCGATCGTTCATGCTGGGCTCTAGTTGCTCGTGGCCCAGACTGAACAATGTCTTCTCAGAAACGATGACGGTGCTGCTCCAGCCTGCGAAGAGGATGCGTACATTGTTGTCCGGCGGAGTCTCCAAGACTGCCTGGAACGACTTCACGTCGCCCTCGCGTGGGAGCAACTGTCTGTGTGCATTGAATCCTGCCGCAAGCAGCCGCATCGAGCCGTGAGCTTGGTCTTGGTGGTGTGCTCCGTCGCTCGCCATTTTTGTTGTACTGCTGCTTATAATGCGCAGGACTTGGGCGCCGACGACTTGGGCTGCAGAGAGGCCGCTGCGGCAGTCCGAAAGGATGAATTAGAACCTTTGCTCCTTCTGTCAACAAAACTCCATCTACTCGGTCTGGATAGGCTGGATAGGCGGGATTTTACATTTGAATGAAGGAGCGAGAATTCGAATCGTGTATGGAAAACGGATTCGGAAGAGAGACGCCCCGCCCCCGCAGAACACCTCACTGCTCACCAAGGTACATGACGACCTAAATCACATGGCTTCATCTGCAGTCAGGATCCACCGACATTCATGTTCCTGCGGCGGCCTTTCATGATGCTTGAATCATAAGATAGTGATGGTACGATCATCGGCACTGTTGCAGCGGATCGCCGGGCAACGCAGTCCAAAAGCTCCAAACCAACCGTTGTCCTTATCAATATTTGCAACCTCTTCCGATCTGCATAGGAGCCAATTGCAACAATAAGTTCTGGAAGTATGTATCGCTCCTCTCTCCAAAAGCCTCTTTGGGACTAAATGTTGGCACCAGTGAGACCTTGGAGGTGAACCACAGCGAAGATAAAGGTAGACGTCGCTTGCACATGGCCATGATCAATCTTCACGATTAGGACTCGCTCCGTGGTAGACTCAATGACATTTGCTGTGAAATCCTTTGGCTACAGGGCACGGCTAGTGCTATTCCCAGCGTTGCGAATGCGCAGAAAGAAGTCGAGCTCTTTTGAGAACAGCTCCGATGCTCAAGCAAAGACTGTGGAAGGTGGTCAGAATCTTTTGAGTGAAGGTCGGCCAAATGAGGTCGATCAAGAAGTCCTTCGTTTCGTGAAACACTATGGCAATGTGGCGCTTCTTAGAAGCGTGGATCGGTGAATTGCTGGGGTCTTCTTGAAAGGCAAGGAGAGGAAGTTGGACTGAAGAGCTGCCTCGCGACAGATTGAATTGACCTCGATACCCTGGCAGTGTGGGGATCAAGATGTGATGAGCATGCTGTTGACTCAATGTTCTGTCTTTCTACAAGCTGTGAAGTAACTGGCTGACTGACGGCGGGCACTGCATGCCTCCTTGCTCCTCTGACAGATTCTCCAGCCAGAAACGACGGCGACCTCAAGGCCAGTGGCCGAAGGGAGGGCTGATTACCAGTGGCGGTTCGTGCTGCTGCCTTGCAGATGGTGGTGTGACTTCGTGCTGTGCCTGAGACTTTGCAGTATGGTGCGGCTGGGTGAAGACACCCTACTGGTCAGCCTTGCGGCGCAGGTGAGGAGGCAAAACGTTCGCGTTGGAGGCCTTTAGCTCTGGCTCTGGCTCCGGCTCCTTGTTCAACTTACGCAACTTGAATGTAGCCTCCCGACGGGGGACATAGTCCTGCCTCTCCTTCATCGCCTCCGCCACGTTCCTCTTGCGCTCCTCATATCCCTCGGCGCTCTTGAGGTAGTCTTGGCGCTTGCCCTCGTTCTCCGCCCAATTAGCCCAGGCGGCGTTCAGGGGCATAGTCCTCTTCTGCTCGCGCCTTGGAGTCGTTGGATGGGCGCCCTTCGCCTGCTGCTGCTGCTGCGGTGGTTTCTCCTCCTCTGGCTTTGCGTTGGCGAGAGCCTGCTGTGAATCGTTGGAAAGAAGGTTGCTCATTGTGCTTGGTTTGGAAGTTCGTCGCGCTGCTGTGGAGAACGTGCCGCTGCGTGTGCCGATAGTGCTGACACGTGTTGTGGAGTTGAGAGCTCCGTATACTGCTGTGGAAAATGCGTAGCGGAGTCTCTCGGGTCTGACGAGTGTGTCGAGGTGGTCGAGGTTGTCAGGTGTAGGAAGAGTGAGGAAAACTTGAACAAGGGGGGGAGATGGAAGGAGATATAAAGATTCTCAAAAAATCGTGGCCTATTGTCCCCACGGCTACAATGGTATCAATGCTCACAATAGGCTTTTTGAGCTACTAAAGTGGCTGGTGAATTTCGAGTTGAGTACAGTGCGGACGTTGATACGACGACGAGGACAAGGGACTGCATAGCAACTATGGTTTCTCTGGAAATTTCCTCTTGCGCCTGTACAGTCTCTTCATGCGTCGAAGTTAACCCTAGCGGATCGTGTCGCTCGTTTGCTATTGTGTGGACCCTCTGCTTGCTAAAATGGTCGGAAGAACATGGCTTTCCAGGGTGAAGAGGTGCAGATTGGCGTACTCGCGTCAGGCTGGTCTCGACGACCAAAATCACCGGATTTAACGTACTTGGCTCGCTGCGACTATCGGATCTGGCAGAAAGCCTGGAGGGAAGATATGTCGACGTATCGAGATGTTGTTCACGTTGGCATCGCAGGATCGAGGCTCGTCTCGTCGCTTTTTTGATCCTCAGATGTTTGTGTGGATTGTCAAAGCGCAGCCAAGAGCCATCGGAACAGAGGAGATGCGCGAGAACATCATCGCAGGCGGTTTAGGTCACAGCATGGAGTTAGCGCGGGAAACATGTGAAAGGTGAAGTCAGAAAGGAGCCCGGAAATAAGGCTCAAGTCATGCGGCTAGAATCGCCTAAAGCCGGCGCCGGCGCCACTTGCCTCACAAAGTTCAGGTCTTCCTACGTCGTAATACATTGGACACAGTCTTCTTTCTTCCCCAGAACAGCACTCTCTCTTCTTCCTTCTACCTACACCTTCCAGCGGACAGTATGCAGTCGACACACGCGCTCGGCCGCGCAATCCGTCATGGCTTCTTCAAGAGGCGCCCCTTCTCTACCTCAATTCCAACCAGATCATCCTGGTCGCCGGGACCTTCTCCGCCACGCCTCCCTAAAGAAGAACAAGAGATCTTCGAAAAGCTCCAGCAGCAGTCGACTGGCGCATTCAGCACGCCACGGCAGCAGCCCTCCGACCAAGCAGATGCCGACCAGCAGTCATCGGAACCCGCGATATCGAGATCAGCCGAGGCCGATGACATGCTCGAACAACTCCGAGAAAGAGCTCGAGTAGCAGCAGAAGGCGAAGGAGAAGAACTGCATCCGAACGTGCGAAGAGGCGCGCCACCTGAGTTTCAGGGCGACGTCAACCCCAAGACTGGAGAGGTTGGTGGGCCGAAGAATGAGCCCTTGCGATGGGGCGTCAGTGGCGACTGGAGTTACAACGGGCGAGTAACAGATTTCTGAAGCGACGGATGATACGAGTCTCGATGTGTAGCGTACCCAATACACGGGGAGGTCTGCTATGATAAAGGACAAGACGGAAAGAAAGTTCCTCCTCCTACACCTACACCTTGCTCTCGGCATCGACATTGAACTTGTTGTGCTCGCAAGTCGCAATCACCGCCCGATCGCTCTCACGCAACAGAGTGCCTTTCAACAATGCCATGCGCTTCCCGCAGTGTATGATCTACACAAGCACGATCAGGTGTTAGCACATCAGCACTACACAACAGCTCCGCCATGGTACAACATACCTCGCACTCCAACCTCAGCCCCTCGTCCTCCATTGCTGGCCTCAAATACGTGCAATTTAGAGTCCGCGTGGTGCCCATACTGGTCCAGAACCCTGGCTCACAGACAAGGTAAAGGAGCCACGAAGTTGCGATATCGAAGATTGTGGCGACGGCCCCGCCGTGGAGTGTTTGCGTCGGATTTAGGTACTGCTGCAAGACGGGAAAGCGATAGACTATGCGGGAAGTTGACTTTGATGTGCGCTCGGCTTCGATGATCTCGAGTGTCTCCAGCCAGGCGGATGCGAAGTTGCCTCCTGCTTCTTCTTGCTGACAGGCGCGAATCGCGTTAGCTAGGCCAGCAATGTTGATCCCACTGGAACGCCTGCTCGTTACCGAGAAGCCTGTGAGACGTACAGCTCTGGCAATGGCCCTGCCATCTAGCGCATCCCTAAGCTTTTCGAGATCTGTTTCTCCCATGATGGCAGTCTAAAGTATGGAAAATGTCATCAACATTTCAATTTGGGTTGCCGATGATCAGAAGAACGAAGGACCTCGGAACTTGGCCAATTACGGCTTAGTCATTGAAGCCTGTGGCCCGGAAATTCTGCAGGCCAGAAGACCAAGGGGACATTGTTATATGTCTCTGTTGACGTTATTGTAACCTTATCACTTGTTTCGAGCTTGCGCCTGCGGCGGTTAGGGGACTGCCACGAGCAATCTGTCCACTTCACCCTGTACCTTCACCGTCTCGCTCACGATCTCCGCATACTCTCTCGCCATGCCCTGTACCGCAGCGTTCGCTCTGTACTCCTCCAACTTCTCCTGCAACTCCCTCATCCTACGTTTCAGGCCCACAGCCTCGCCATCTAGGTCCTCCACTCTCCTTCTCAAAGCTTCCTGCAGGTCCGGCGACTTGGTCTGAGCCAGCAACGAGTTCTGCTGAAGTTTCAACTTTCGCGCCATGCCTTCGGCAACCGTGGCAAGATAGTCTGCTTTCGCCTTGGTGCTTCGCGATACGGATCCATGTATGGTCTGTTCAAGTATCCGAATACTGGTTTCGATTGCTTGGCGGTAAAGGGAGTGAACATTAGTTGTCTCGTGGGCAATCTGTATGCGAAGATCGGCAATGGCTGCTTCTGAACTGATACCGTTGTCCTTTATTCTCTGGATGCGTGAGGGCAGATCGCGCCAGTCTGAGGTAGCTTCCGTGGAAAGGATGCGTGCAAGCTGGGTGATGTCTTCTGCTGCAGCTTTGGAAACGACGAGCGATATGAGCATGATGTTATCCTGGGATGGTTACCGTTAGATATCATGAACCGAGGAACAGTACTTTTACCAGCGCTCACTTTGAACTTATCGACATCCTCACGCAGTAATAAGGCATCTCCTCGCGAAAGGGGAGTGTGCAGCGCGGCGCCGATGATGGCGACCAGTTCGCGAAGCTGCACGGGACACCCCGGGCGTCAGCGTATTCCACCACACCAAACATGCCATCGGGGATATATACCTCTACGGGCAGCTCGTCGCCCCTGTAAGCCAAAGACTGGAGATACGTCTTGACGAGATCCTGTTTGGAGGCCGCGGTACGCGCTTTCTTCAATTCCTCGCCGAAAGCTTCGCGCTCGCGCTGCGTCTTGCCGTCGACCCTCGTGGTGCCGTCTGGCTCGAGCTTATTGTTGCAGAGGTCGCGGTAGAGCGCATCGAACTTGGGATTTGCAATTAGGGTATCGCCATCCACGGGAGGCAGCATTTTCGTTTCTGTCTCAGTGGATGGAAACGGAAGTCGAGGTTCAGTCAAGCAAGTCGGACGGCGGAAAGATGGAGCTCGAGGCTTGCCAAGAACGATTCCAACGTACAAAGCACGCTCTCTGATACAGCTGGTACATAAACCAAAAACAATCATCTACCTCTATGATTTCTAAAAATCCTTGTAGGTTCTCAGAGGATTCCAAAATGCTCCGCAACGTCGAGTAACATGGTAGCAACACCTCCCGCCATACTAATGAGTGGGGCTATGACTGGTAAATTCACAACCAAGCCCACGACACGAATCCACACCATCATCAAAGATAACACTATTCTCAACAAGTTGTCCTGCCATGTGAAGTGCGGTCGATTGCCTCGGCTGTATGTGGAGTCAACAAACTCGAAAGGCAACTTCGCGCCCAGATGCTCAGTCGCCACACGAAGACCGCTGCTAAAACCATCCTCGTGGAATCCATACTTCGTCCAGGCTCCACAGTAGCTGACTCCGCGGGTGTTCTGGATCTTGTCGAGCCGTTTCTGCGCTCTAACAGCTTCGACCGTGTATAGAGGGTGTCTGTACACGAATTTGCCCTGAGTGAGCCGCGGGTCTGGTTCGCGGTCAGGATTCAATGTAACCAGGACAGGTCCAAGCATGTCCTCGCTCAGATGCTGAAGGATGTTCATGCAATATGTCAAGCTAACGCCCGCCGGATGTGATAATTGCGATGGTGTCGAGCTGACAAGATAATTCCACGCTGTCCAGACCTCGCGACGCTTGGGCATTAAGTCGAGGTCAGAATGTAGCCACGCTACGTTCTCTGTTGTTTGAAATGCCGACAGGATATCGAGTTCCTCTTGAGAGACGTACTGTACTCCAGAAGAAGACTTGACGAACTTGTCAGATCGCGGTGAGCTGCTGCTGGCCGAGTTCGTGCTCGTGGTCATGGACGAGGATGATGAAGTGGGTCGTTGTCGCGCACCGTGCTTAGCGAGCAGAGGCAGCACCTCGTCTCCATGACAAGCCAGTATTACATGGTCAAAAGCATCGCCCTCAATCTTCCCAGACTTGGCGTTGATCCACGACACCGTGACAAGTCCATCACCCTCTCGACTGGGCCGCAGTACGTTCGCGACTTCGCACGACGTATGTACATGTAGTCTATCTTCCGGGAATTGATCTACAATGGCGTCGATGTATCTTTGCGAGCCGCCAGCGATCGTGAGCCATGCTGGCCGTTCGGCTACTGTAGAGAGCAAGTGGTGGTTCCACATGAAACGGATCAGCGTCTTCGCGGGAAACTCCAGGCTGGCCTTGTCTGGCGAAGTGCTCCATACAGCAGCGGTCATTGGAATCAGATAGTCGTCACGAAATCCTTGCGAGTATCCGTGGCGATCCAAGTACTCACCAATGGTCATGTCGGCCTCGCGCTTTCGAGAAGGCTTCAACGGAGGAGAGGAGCCGTCGAGATAATTCTCCCCCGCTTCTACCTCTTCTTCCTCCTCTTCATCGATGGTCAAAATGTCCAGTGCGAACTGGTTGAAGCGCACGATGTCGAAGATCATGCGCCAATGTCTGGGTCTGAACAGATTGCGCTTCTGGGCAAAGATCCCCCGAGCCTCGCCAGACCACTCCAGAGCACCTCGATCCCGCGAAACACCGAATGTCATTTCAGTGTTGACCGGCTGCACGTCGACCTCCTTGAGGAAGCGGATGAAGTTGGGATAGGTGGCAGAGTTCATGACGATGAAGCCAGTGTCCACGGGGACAGTCTGATCTCCGTGGTGCCAATACTGGGTGTTAGTATGTCCACCCAAGCGATCTGATTTCTCGAGTATGTGGACCTCATAATCGCTGTTCTGGAGGGCCCAGGCAGCTCCTAGGCCGGCGCATCCGCTGCCAACAATTGCCACCTTCTTGCGGTCGTGCATCCTCTTCTTTGCGCTGTTGGCCGGCGACGAAGATGGCGAGCCCTTGGCGGGACTTCGCTTGAAGAGTCTCATGGTGGTGTGCTCATTCTACAGGTGAATTCTTGATGAAGGCGAACATGGATCACAGATGAGGAGACGGGCGACGGGTTATGCGTGGAGGTGTGGGGAGGATGTCATGTCCGAGTTGGAAAAGGTAGAGTGGCGCCAACCATCAAATCGCATCGCTGCATCTTTTTATTACGGGGGCCCGCTGCCAAGACGGTCACTATCAGCGAATAAGGATCATGAGGTGATGCCTGAGGTGCAGTGTCTTATCATCACAGCAGCTGGTCTCTGTTGCTGTTGCAGTAGGTAGTGCTTGCCTGTCCTGTCCTCCGCAGCTCGTTTGCGGTGACACGCGTGATCGTGGATCGTTGACGGCGCCACGCGCCTGTGCGCCTTTGATCTCCCGAAGCCCGCATCTCAGCCACGCGACATCCGACATCCAGACATCCAGCCCAGCGAAGCATCAACATACACGTACCTTGCTTCAACTGGCGTGCAGCGACATACTCCACCCACGACCGCAATCCCTCCACAACTCGATCCGCACAGCCACAAAATCGCAGAAGTCGTCGGACCTTTGGAACCCAGTCTGCGACAGGCGCCAGCCTCAGCAAGCCTGCGACAATGGCGAATCCACTCGACACCGACGCCGGCTCTGAGCTCTTCAGCAACTACGAAGCAGAGCTCAAGCTCGTGCAAGCCGATGTCTCCCAAAAGCTAGACCAAATTCCCGAGTTGCAAGGCGAGCCGCGCAAAGCCGCCATGGCCCACGCCGAGAGGGCTCTGGAGGAAGCCAGAGAACTGCTTGACTCCATGCGACTAGAGAAACAGAACATCCCACAGGCATCGAAAGTGAAGGTCAACCAGCGATTTCGAAACTACGAGACCGATGTTGACGGGCAGAAGCGTAAGCTGAAGAGTCTACAAGATGACAGGCAGGCGTTGTTTGGGAAGCGGTATACGGACAACCCCACGCAGGATGACCAGCTTGAGCAGCGACAACAGCTGCTCAGCGGCACTGATAGATTGGAGAGGTCGAGTGGAAGATTGCGCGAGAGCCAAAGGATAGCGTTGGAGACGGAAGACATCGGCCGGAACACGCTGGCGGATCTGAGCCGGCAGCGGGAAACGATCGAGCATACACGCGGTACGCTCTTGGAGAGCGAGGGATACACGGATAGGAGTAATAAGACGCTGAAGGACATGGCGAGAAGGTATCTACCAAGTCTGTGGTGAAATGGTACACATAGAACAGGTCCGGCTAACGTTTGTTCTAGGATGGCTACCAATAAGATAATCACAGTGGCCATCATTACCGTTCTGGTCATCCTCATCATTGCAGTTGTTGTCAGCAAATTCAGATGATGATGAAAGAGATACGGGAGTTCTGGCGCATTAAGACGGTTCGGAAAGGATGGAGGGCTATCGTGTACAGGAATGCTAAACATTGTATCGCTTTCGAGAGTAGGGCAGAACCTTCTATGGCATTGATGTCCCAGGACAGCTTTAAAACGTCTGAATGCAGTAGATCAGACGCTCCATCCACCGGGTCTAAGAGCCTTATTCTGATGCTGACTCTGCTGCTGGCTTGGCTGTCGATTCTGCTGCCGCCTCAACTGCTGGTTTGGCGGCTGGATCTGCGGCTGGCTTTGCGGCTGGCTCTGCGGCTGGCTTTGCGGCTGTTTCGGCTGGTGGCAACGGCGAAGGGGATGATGGCTCGCTGCCGCAAGCCTCCTCAACAGCCTCGAGCAATACAAAAGCCGCAACCTGCTCAAGCTGCTTTGCGTACATTTCTAATTCAGCCTCCAGGAGACCGATGCCATCAAGACCCCAATTCTCGATCTTTAGGTGGATGCTACTCTCCAGGGTCGTGCGTTTGGAGAGGTCGATGACTAGATGTCGGTTATTATGGAGTCTATCGTTGTATCGGAGATCATCTGGTAAGACTTACCCATAAATCTGGCCGGGATCTGCTCAGTTCCGACTGGTGCAGCAAATTCACGGACAACGACTTCTTCAGCGTCGAGGAGGGAGGCCTGGCGGGGATCTGACACCTCCCAGTCGGCGCGGAGAGCCATCAGAGCGCCGAGAAGAGCGCTTTCCTTGATGGTGACGAAGTGCTTGTTGCCACTGTCTCTGTCCAGGCGAGAGGACGCGGCCGCGCTGCTGCTCAGGAACGCTGTGATTTGATCGATCTTGTTGCGGATAGAATTTTTGATGCGCTTCTTCTTGGAAGCCGCAGGCTCAGCGGCATTGGTGGGCTTATTTCCATTGCGCTTTGGCTTGGGAGTAGCCTTGATCTTCTGCTTCTTGGCTGCAGCAGAGGGAGCAGGGCTCTCTTCGGCTTGGCGCTTTTTGCCCTTGGAGGGCGAGGCTGACTTGACTGCTTCCTGCTCGGCGTGGACTTCTTCCTCGCCAGTCGTCTCATCTTCTGGCAGAGTGCCCTCTATCTCACTGCCGATTCGCGAGGCGCTGTCATTTCGGGCGCTCTTGTGATCATGAGCAGGATTTCCCGGCTGAGAAGCGGTGTCCGAAATGCTACTTTTGGCGGAGATTTTGTTGACCAACTCGGTCTGTGACGACATGGTGTTTGCGGATGGTTTGGAAAAGATTGACTTTGAAGTGGACACTGCTTTCTGGTAACAAGGTGCGGCAGTCTCTGTCGCAGTTGCAGTTCGATGTGGTCGCTGGAGCCAGCCAGACAAAGAAAGTGAGGAATTTGGAGGAAGTTGAGCACAAAGAAGAAGGAGGATGGAGAGAACGGAATAGTAGAAAAGAATGTTGAAGTAGACTGAGTCGGCCATTGTAGAACTCACAATAGCTCAACGGCACAATAGCATGTGGAAGTGTCCACACAATACAAGCAATTGAATACGATGATAGTTTGACGCATTGTTATTGTACCGTATTGAAGCTCTCATGACAATACCGACACCACGAATTGACAGTACGACTCGCAGCAAGAATCAGCGGTTCGAAGAAACTCACTGCATCGGACGAAGGCTGCTGGGCTGTGGGCAAGGGTCAATAGAAGTGTGGAGCATCCGGTCTGTCTGGTCGTACTTCTCAAAAGCAGCACGATGTTATGTCTGCCGCGTCGTGGAAACCGGCACCAGCAATCGCCGTCACTGTTGACGGCCAAGCATTACAAGTCGATGGGCCAAGGTACATGTCATGAGGACGATGCTGCTAGAGACGTGAAGTCAAGTCTTAGCGGAAAGGCCGCAATGTGGCAATGCGGGCAAGCTGCCGCCGGGAGACTTTCGGCGCGGTCCGAGGCAAGCGTCCAAGCTCTGGCGTCAGAGCCGACCACTACTACTGCTGTGAACATCTAGCACAAACGACTCTCTCTCCCCGATCATCCCCCTCCTCCATCACCACCCGATAATAATATATCTGTTTCGCCGCAGGGTGCCGCTCTTTCCGTCATCACGCTACCACCGTTGTACAGAGTAGCGCTGCACCGCTGCCTGGAAACGACGCCATCGCCGCATCAGACTGGACTTTTGAGGCAAGAAAGCCCGCTTTCTACTCTCAGCACCCACTGCCCGCGCGACGACTTCCTCACTCCACCTTACCACGCGAGTCGTTGCACGTGACGTCACTAGAGACTGGCAATCGACGCAAATTATCTTCACCCGCCGGCAAAATCCACTGCCAATTCAATTCGCACATCTGGAGCGGCATCACGGCTCGCCATCCACCGCCAGCGTCACATACTGCATCGAGCGTCCCCGAAATATTTTACACGTGATAACACGCGCACAAGGCTTGGAGTTCGAATAGCAAGGACACTCAGCACAGCACCGCGCTGTCGGCGGCGCCTGGCGCAATGGGGAGGATAAAGAAGGCCGCCACAGAGCGGCATATGGCTACGCTCTCGCCGTTTGTCAAGGACTTCGTGAAGCGTGCTACCGAGGTCCCACTGCATCGGCTTCCTACACTACTAGACAGCTTTCCGCAAAACTGGCCTCTGCCGAGAGGAGATCTCTACCACTGGATACCGGTTCTCGATCGGTTCGACCGCATACTCGAGCTCTTCAACAAGGAATATGCTCTGAATGAGGGGCCTCAGACACAAGCATTTGAGCGGCGACTGTTGCTCAAGGGTGATGCCGAGGACAGTATGCCCTATCCTTCCGGTGGAGGGAGCGTCGAGGTGCTTGACGCAGCGGGATACTCCAGCGAAGGAGACAGAGAGTTGGTCGAAGCGGTCTTGCACTTCTCCAGAATCCTGCTCGAACATTGCGGTAATAGGAGTCTGTACTCCAGCAGCACACACATCAACGACTTGCTTAACACGACGTCTCTGAGCCTGCTCCGGCGCAGCCTAAAGCTCAGCTTGCGCCTTGCTCAGCGTTATCAAGTTGCTCGATATAAGAACCATCACCCGAGTGCACAAGCTGTACTTCTCGCAAATCACTACAACCTCAACTTGGACAACCTGCATAAGATAGCCGTGCCGTTTCCAAAGCCCTCTATCTCTGCGCCATCCTTGGGACAGACGCCTGGCAAGGGCAAAGAGAGAGGTATGTCCGCTGTAGCGTTCAATCCCTCCGATCTCGTGGCCATTGCAAAAGAGCAAATTTCGCCAGATATACGAAGCGACTTGTCCAACGTTGCTCTCAGCTACTATGAACAGTCTCAGTCCGTTGCTCGCCCCGGTACAGCAGCTTTACAGGCAGACGCTTCCCCCACTTCACCGTCCTTGGCTCGGAGAAGTTCCAATTTAGGACCTTCTCGTGATCGCCCAGCTGTTGGCGACCGAAGCGCCAGCGCTAACGACGTCTCTTCGACTCCGTTGAAGTCCCGCGAGTCAGAAGAGACGTCAACAGCGCCCAAGGTCTTTCAGATTACTGCAGATGAAGTGATCGAGAGCTCGGCTACCACATTACTGAAGCGTGCATTGCCAAACGTGCCGAAAGACTCGCAATACGAGCTTCTCAACAGGGTCCGAATTGCAAAAGCGTTTGCATCACCAGAGACGCCGGCCCAACAGCTCTTGGAGGTTAGACTGCTAGCCATTGCCAACCTGGCATACGCATACAGCGAGTCGAAATTCCAAGAAAAGATTGGTATTCCGGACGCAGAAGAGCCTAGAAGGTTTCACCTGGCCCAGCAACTATGCGATTTACTCCAGCCCGCGACCAGCGGCCAGACACCGCTGACTCTACAGTCTGAGACCACCGTTTTGATGACCATTGAGGCCCTCACGAAGAGTCGACACAAAGTCTCAGAGGTTGCCGATGCCCTCGCCATCACTGTTAACCACGGTGCACTTTATTACGAACTCCGTAAAGTCATCGCTTCTCTCCATGTCGATGAGCATTCGAATCCGAAAGCAGAGCTTCTCGAGTCAGAGTGGCGTGATGCGACTTTCGACCTCGTGAACAGCCTTCAACAGACCAATGGTGGCCAAGCCAGATACTATGGCGAGAAAATGGTAGCTGCCGGGATCATGGCCATCTTGATTGAACCGCTCGGCCTTCGTACCTCTCGTGCCGAGCGTTTCCATGAGAGAGTGTTGCAATTCTTCGACAGCTTTGTGCACAACATCTCGACCGGCTTCCAGTCCCTTGCGAACATCAAGGGCCTTGATGTAATCGCAGATTTGACTGCCTATGAGGTCGATGCAGCGCTGGAGAATGTGCGTGCCGGCCGCGGTCTGCCATCGGATTACAAGTCGAAAGTTGTGGACTACTCAATTCCGTTCTACCAACAATCCACCCTGCGACAGCTTTTCAAGAACACTGTACACATGTTCGAGCACAATGCTGGCGCGCATGATCGGCTATTGCGGAACCTGATAGACACACCGCAGATACTTGGAGCGCTGCGAAATGTCATTGAGAATGCTCCAATTTTCGGATCCAATGTTTGGAGCGGCGCCGTAAACATTGTCAGCAGCTTTATTCACAATGAGCCGACTAGCTATCAAGTGATCGGGGAGGCTGGCCTTAGTAAAAGCCTGCTAGAATCGATCACTGGCGAGAAGGTCCCAGATGAGCTTCCACCATTGGAGGAATATGTGCCCAGTCAAGAAACAACCAGCATCGAAGCTGCTGAGAACGGCGAACCCTCATATCCAGCTGTGTCTGGGATTCTGCCTGTTGGGGAGGTTCTGTGTGACATTCCTAACGCGTTCGGTGCCATCTGCCTCAACGAAACCGGCATGCAGCTATTTCAAGCCTCTGGTGCTCTGCGTAGATACTTCGACGTGTTTCTCTCGCCAACCCACATACGCGCTATGGAGGAAGAGGGGCAAACAGCAGCAACAATCGGTCACTCTTTCGATGAGCTTTCGAGGCATCACCCACGACTCAAGGATCAGATCATGGCTGCCGTCATCAACATGCTGAAGCGTCTCCGCGAGCTCTGCGCGATTCTTGCGGCTAAGAAACACTCGGGCGCGAAGCTCTGGACAACTTTAGACAACAAACTCGTGATCTCGGGCGGTCAAGCTGCGCTTCAAGGTGCCACTCAGATCGGTCATGATCAAGCAATGTCCGGAGCCGACCAGGCGCCACCACCCAGCCAATCTGTCATGGTTGAAGACGATGGTACGGAGGACGGGCGTGAGCGGGCAACAGCAGCTCCTTATCTCAGCGCGTGCTTCAAATTCCTCGACGGTTTCTTTCACAACGCAAGCATGTGCAGTTTGTTCTGCGAGGAGTCTGGCGCAGAGCTCCTTCTAGACCTCGCGGTCTCACCGAGCATCCCATACGACCTCGTGGCCTTTCCGTTGTTCAACAAGAGCTCGCAGGTGCTTAAGTCTATGTGCGAAGCGAAAGCCCATCTCGTTCTCCCGAGCGTTATTCACCGCATGCAACAAGCACTGATTCCTTTGAAGTTCCTCATGGAAAACAGGTCAGCCACGACTTCTTTCGGCAACTTCATCAATTTGTCAGAACATGCAGTGTCCGCTTTGCCCGATGGTGTTGATGGCACAACTGTGGTGAAAAGCCTAGTCAACGTCCACTTGCTTTCCCACGTGTTGGGACGAATACTAGCACCCCCAGCGTACTCTTTACGGCACCATTCCCCGAACAACGCGCTTTTCTCGAGCCTCAACTTCACTGAGGTCTACATGCAACTTGTGGATCAACTGAGCCAGTTGCACGCGTCATGTGTTTGGGAAGGTTTGCTCCTGATGCATGATCTGCCGGAGGCCAGAAAGATGGGGACTGAGCCTCGTCCATTCGTCATGCGTCGCGTAGACGCGAATGGTGTCGTCGAAGTTGCTGGAGACCGGAATTCCGAGACTGCTCGTGGCGATGATGCACCTATCAGCAATGAGGGGAATAGCAGAGAGTCGGTCCTTGCACAGAAGAACCTGCGCACGATTCGTTATCTGCTCAGCCAGGTCCCAATGGGTCTTGAATCCTTCCTCCATTCCCTGGGCCAAGCAGTGGCAACGAAGCGCATGGACAGCATGAAGGAGCATGGAGCGGCCGTATCCCGGCGACTGGCTAAGGCTCTTATCTGGGAGCTGGACTTCCGTCGTGATCAAATCTCAACCGAGTCTTTGGAGACCAAATACACTGCTTCTATCCTTGCCCTTACTGGTCGAGTGTTATTACGCAACTCCTATTCTATGGAAGCGTTTGGCACCAAAGAAGCGCTGACCTCAGTGCTCAAGGATTTCTATCTCGCTGGTGGATTCTCCCGGTTGAACGAACATCTTGCTCGCTTTGTCGAGGTCTTGGCGAAGCAACAAGAGGCTGGCGAGGTGGAAGGCCACGTGAAGGATGGCATTCACGCTATTTTGAACTTCTACAGCCAAGTTGTGCGACAGAAATGCGTACTTGAGTCGTCACAGTCGCAATCCGGTTCGATTGGCAACAGTCGTGACAAGAACGCTGTGGACTACTTCCAGCCAAGCCAATTCCTTCTGGAACTTCGAGATGCTATCTTACCGGCTGTCAGCAAGATATGGCATTCGGGAGACATTGAGAAGATCAATGATTCCGACGTGAGGCTGGTCGTGGATATCCTTCGAATAGTCCTCAAAGCCGAAGGCGAGGATAAAGCTTTCCGACGCAGTGACCACGCAACACGGCGCGTAGTCGTTGATGAGCCCTCGTTGAAGCTGAGAAGTACAGATGGGTTGGAGCGGTTGACGGGCGCTCTGGGCTTTGACCAAGCACTTAGTGAAGAGGCATTTCATCGCTGTAACGGCAATCTCCAGTTTGCGGAAGCTTATTGCAGGCTGCGCCTAAAAGATTTTCAGGTGCCTCGCTTCCCGCCTCCAGAAACCTCCTCGAACCAACAGAAAGCAACCCAAGTTCCTCTTGAATCAGCGGAGGTGCAGCATGCAAGCGATATCGAAATGATTGGTGCTCCGAACGGAGAACGCGAGCCAGCGGGCACTGAAGATGACAGCGATGACAATACAGCACCCCATTCGGATGACTCCGCACTGCTACGTACTCCACAGGACAGCGAACTGCCTCCGAATGAGGGATTTGTGGCTGCTACGGTCCAACAGACTACTCCAGACAAGAAGTCTACCATTGCTGATGGCCACAGCAAGCAGCCTTACGTGACAGTTGACGACCTCGATGAGAAGCGCATGGCCATTCGCCGTGATCTCATCGACCGATGTCTGGAGGTGCTTAGTACCCAGCCGTCTCTCACGTTCGAATTGTCAGACCTCATTCAAGCCGCCGTCGCAAAGGCGGGAGAGGGCACAAATGCACGCGTAGACATTGGGCAGACTTTGGTCTCGTCTTTGATGTCGCTGTATGGCGAGGAGCCAAGCAAGGAGTCTGGGCTCAAGATTCATGCTTATGCACACTTGATCGCACTCATCATCCAGGATAGAGACTTTTTTGACTCTATTCTGGATGAACTGAAGGACTCCTTTGAGACCTTGGTCTCATGGGTCCAACTCGAGCAGGAGCAGAAAATTGAAGATGCCCCATGGATTGAGACCATCCTGCTCATTATTGAACGCGTGCTTGCCGAAGACGAGCAGCCCGTGGAAATTCAGTGGGAGGCACCACCGCCGGACGACCCGCTCAAGCCAATGCCTCTCCCGCCAAGACCTGACCCGATCGTGTCAATGGAACTACGCTCGCAGCTGTTTGAAGCACTATTGGACATGTTGCCTAAGATTGGTAAGAACAAGACCTTGGCCCTGTCTGTGTCTCGCGCTCTCGTTGTGTTGACGCGAACACGCGACCTGGCGCTCCGCCTCAGCGACAAGCCAAAGATGGGAAGGCTGTTCCTCATGGTTAGGCAACTGGCTGGCTCTATTGACGAGAAAGTCCAAAGCTCGTTGATGCTTATCTTGCGGCACATAATTGAAGATGATGATACGATTCGGCAAGTCATGCGCGCTGAAATAAGAGCACTTTTCGAAAACCAACGCTCGAACCGCGCGATGGACACCACAAGCTACATTCGTAGCCTCCACCATCTTGTTCTCCGCAACCCGCAAACCTTTGTGGAAATCACCCAGGAAATGCTCGAGATCACGCGTTTCGATGGCGAGGCGCGACGCGCTCAAACGCTAGCTCTCAAGCGGGAGACAACTCCTGTCCATGCACAGGAGAACTCCAAAGTCTCGTCAGCGGCGGGAGCGCAGAGTACCGATGGGGACGCTTCCAAATCGATGGAATCCAGACCGCCCGTTGGGGAAAGCAGTGATGGTGTGATCCAGTTTCTTCTGCGTGAGCTCACGAACTATCGAGACGTTGAGGATAAGCCTGCGCTTCCTGCAAAGGAGAATCAAGGTGATGGAAACACGGAGGGCTCAAACGCTGATATCGAAATGCCCGACGCAACCATCGGTGCTGTTCCTGAAGCCAGCAGCCAAGGCAAAGCTGCCTTCAAGCCCGAGGACCACGCAATTTACGTTTACCGCTGCTTCATTCTCCAATGCCTGGCTGAACTTCTCCAGTGCTACAATCGCACGAAGATTGAATTCATCAACTTCTCGAGGAGCAAACCAGAGCCTCAGTCATCAACTCCATCCAAACCGCGAGCTGGTACACTGAGGTACCTCCTTGAGACTCTTCTGCCAGTGGGCACCCTGGAGCACCGAGACGATGTCGCACACCGGAAGAAGGTTGCAACTTCCACCTGGGCCAACGCAGTCTTGGTCGCACTCTGCACCAAGACCCAGGAGCGACACTGGCTCAATCTACACACATTTGATGCCGTTAAATTCGCAGAGCAGGAACCGGAGCTCACATTCGTGCGCAAGTTTGTACTCGAACACGCGCTCAAGTCCTTCAACGCTGCTATGTCCGGTCCAAGCTCATTGGACGAGCGGTACTCCCGCCTCCTTGCTCTTGGCGAGTTGTTCAATCGGATACTTAACGACAAAGTGGATCTTCACCGGTCCAGCGTTGTCGCTGCGGGTGCCTATGCCGCACAACAGCAGATTGGCCGGCTTATGTATGAGAGAGGTTTCATTGGCACTCTGACGTCCGCAATTGCCGATCTGGATTTGAACTTTCCAAACGCCAAGCGAACCGTCAAGTACATCTTGAACCCACTCAAGCAACTCACTGAGCTAGGCGTACATATTAGTCAGTCTTCTGATTCATCCACGGAGCCGGGTGGCAGCACCGAGGAGGAGGAAATTTCGTCGGCAACCTCGGAGGACGAGGACGAAGATGAGCGTGAACAGACTCCGGATATGTATCGTGGCTCTTCTCTCGGCATCTTTGAAACAGCGGGTAACGATGACGACGAGTCGGAATCAGAATCCGAGGACGAAGACGAGGATGAGGAAATGTACGAAGAAACATATGACGAAGACATGGATTACGACGAAGAGCCGGCCGCTGAACACGGCGACGTGGTCAGTGACGAGGACGACGACGAAATGGACGACATGGGTGAGATTGAAGGCGTTCCCGGCGACATTGAGATGCAGCTGGACATCGTGGACGATGATGACGACGATGAGGACGAGGATGGAGACGACATGTCAGAGGACGACGATGATGAGGATGACGACTCCGGTGCCGACGCTGAATTCGCAGACCAAATGGACGAGATCACCGGAGATGATGACAACGCGAGCATGGGCGAGCACGACGAAGGCGATTGGGAAGATGACTTCAACGAACATGGAATCCCGCATGACGGTGGCTCACCGCATGGTGGCCCTCTTGATCATATTGCTCATGTTCTTGGAGCAGAAGACCCTTCAGAATCTGGCGATCAAGATGGCGTAGTGCGCATTGATATGGGAGGCGAAGAGGAGTTCTTCGAGGATGAAATGCTTCCCGAGGACGACGAGGATGAAGATGAGATTGACTACGGCGAGGACATGATTTACGAGCCAGAGATGGAAGACGACGAAGACGAGGAAGAGGATGGTGGATGGGCATGGAATGCGCATCCTGTGGGAGTAGGTGCACCTGCCATTCTGCGTGGTGGCCATGTCCATCACCACCACCATCACCATCATCGAGCATTTCCAGAGATGTTCAGTATGATGGCTGGCGAGGGCATTCGTCCTACAGGAGCCCCATTCCGCTCTCATCGCGCGACTCCCAACACTCGGGACGAGGACGGGATCAATCCACTGCTTCAGCGTGACGGCGGTGCTGCCAATGCTCAGCGTGAGCGTGACAGCATAGAAGTGTCTGCACGACAAGGACCACGCCGGGCCTTCCTGCCACGTCATGGCGACGCCATACTTCAAGACATTGTCGCTGCAGTTGGTCCTCCTGGAAGCGGAGGCGTTGTCAACATCAACGTCGACCCTGCCGCAATGCCTGGGCTCTCAGCGCTCCCACCAATGTTTGCAGTTCAACAAGGTCAAGGCGGCGCTCACGCCATGATCGACTTGGATCCTAGGCGACCTTGGCGTGAGCAGCTTTCCATGGGACGGTGGCCAGATATCCTGCCTGGCGGCAGACTCAATGAACGCACTTCCAACAATCATGGGGAGGCCCAGGCTGTCGAGTTTCGTGCCGCCACAACCTCAAATCGCTGGCAAGAAGAGGCTCGCATGTTGTTTCCTGGCAGCAAAGCGCACGAGAAGGCGACTCGTGTCGTCAACATGCTGCTTCGCGCTCTGGTACCTGCTGCAATGGAGGCCAAGCGAATACGCGAGAAGGAAGAGGCCGAGCGTCGAGCCGCGGAGGAGAAAGCCGCCGAACAAGCTCGCCAGAAGGCTGAGGCCGAGAAAGCCGAGCGCGAAGCGCAAGAGAAGAAGGAACGTGAAGAGCGTGAGGCTAAGGAACGCGAAGAAGCTGAAGCTCGTGCAATGGAGGAAGCCGAGCAGGCCGCAGCACAATCCGCACAGGCCGACTCTAACACCCGAGCACATTCCGGCATGGAGGGTGTACAACATGACGGGCAACCTTCTAGCTCGGAGGAAGAACCCGCAACAGAAGCGCCTCAGGGAGAGACTGTGGCTGGCGAGCGTGTGACCATCTCGATACGAGGCCGCGAGCTCGACATTACCAGCCTAGGCATCGATCGGGAATATATCGAAGCTTTGCCAGAAGACATGAGGGAAGAGGTGATTATGGCTCAGTTTGCCGAACAACGCTCTCAACAGGTGGAGTCTGGTGAAGGCCCGAGCGAAATTAGCCGAGAGTTCCTCGAAGCTCTGCCACGCGAAATTCAACAAGAGCTCTTGCGCTCGGAGCAAATGGAGCGCCGTCGCCGCGAACGTGAAGAGACCCGTCGGCGCGCAACGCAAGAGGGTGCTGCAGCGCAGCCCGAGGAGATGAACAACGCTGATTTCATGGCGATGCTCGACCCTAACCTCCGCCGCGCCATCTTGATGGACGCGGACGACTCGGTGCTATCTGCACTTCCAGAAGAGGTTCAAGCGGAAGCTCGCGCTCTATTCGGCGATCGCCGACCCCGTGGTGATGCAGCTGCCCGTGTTGGACGCGGCCTTGAGACTGCTGGAGCGCGCGCTGGCCCGCGCATACTCAATGGGCAGCTGGGCGCGCGGCACGGATCAAATGCTGACTATGAGGCTCGAGAAGTCAGCAGACAACGCCGACCGGTTGCTCAGATGCTCGATAAGGCCGGAGTCGCAACTCTCCTCCGCCTCATGTTTGTCTCACTGAATCACAAAGCAAAGAACAATCTGCATGGCATTTTGTCGGACGTGTGCAAAAACACCCAGAACCGAGCCGAGGTCATAAGCATCCTACTTGCTATCCTCCAAGACGGCACGTCCGACGTGAACGCTGTGGAGCGGAGCTTTGCTCAGTTGTCACTGAGAGCAAAGACACCACCTAGCACAACACCAAGAACTCCACAGCCGCCAAAGCGTGCTTTGGCAGCACCCAGCACGGAGCTGTCGCCACTGAACATTGTTCAACAATGCCTCGGCACGCTGAATGCTCTGTCCAACGACAACCAACGCGTGAATTCCTTCTTCCTCAGCGAGCATGAGACAAGTATCAGCCAAAAGGCCAAATCTGGCAAGAAGGGGAAAGGTCCAGAGAGCAAGGCTGTCAAATTTCCTCTCAACGCCCTGCTCACTTTACTCGACCGCAAATTGATTACGGAGAACACCTCGGTCATGGAGACGTTGGCATCTTTGTTGAGCACGGTGACACGCCCTCTGACTATGCTTCTTCGCCGTGCGAAAGAAGCGCAGGGCGATATCGAGAAGGAAAACTCTGACAAAGGCCTTACCGTCGATGAACAGCCTCAGACAAATGCCCCTGACGTTCCCATGGAGGAAGCTGGATCAATTGCAGAGCAACCTCCTGCGGCTGCGGAATCGTCAGGTAATGCAACCGATGCCGTTTCTGGCGAAGCTGCGGGCGAAGACAAGGCAACACGAGATGTTGGAGACAAGAAGAAGCACCATCGTGATCTCGTACCGCCAGAGGTTCCAGACGAGAATATCCGATTGGTAGTGAACATTCTGGCGGCTCGTGAGTGCCCGAGCAAGACGTTCAGCGACACTCTGGACATCATCAAGAACATGTCCGCCATCCCTGGCGCCAAAGAAGTCTTTGGAAAGGAATTGATTCGTCAGGCACAGGAGCTCGGCCAAGCACTACTAGAGGATCTTGACGACCTTGCAAAGCACATCAGTGCCGCGCAGACGGGCACTGATGTTCAAGGCATGGCTCTTGCGAGCTTTTCATCGGCCGGCGCGAAGCAGCGGAGACTTTTACGAGTTTTGGTAGCACTCGACCATTTGTTCGACCCGAAGCGCATGCCGCAAGCACAGGTGTCGGATCCGAAAGCTTCAGGCTCAGACATCGATCAGCAGCTCAAGGAGGAGATATTGGCCACGCTTTACGAAAGCACGACCTTCGACAAGCTTTGGCATAGCCTCAGCACATGCTTGACCGCGATTCGCCAGCGCGGTAATATGGTCAATGTTGCGACGATCCTGCTTCCACTCATCGAATCTCTTATGGTTGTATGTCGCAACAGCACCTTGAAGGATACAGCAGCAGAGTCCGCTGGCACGCCACCGCCTCCAGAGGCACGCATGGAGACTTTGTTCTTCAACTTCACAGAAGAGCACCGCAAAATCCTCAACGAGCTGGTTCGCAACAATCCGAAATTGATGAATGGCAATCTGTCCGTCATGGCCAAGAACTCCAAAGTCCTCGAGTTCGACAACAAGCGAAATTACTTCAGCCGCCAGTTGCATGATCGTCGTGCTGAGGTCCGTGTTCCTCATCCTTCTCTACAGCTCAGCGTACGCCGCGACAATGTGTTCCTCGACTCCTTCAAGTCCCTGTACTTCAAGACTCCGGACGAGATCAAATACGGCAAGCTGAACATCCGATTCCACGGCGAAGAGGGTATTGACGCCGGAGGAGTGTCTCGCGAATGGTTTGCAGCCATGGCACGCCAGATGTTCAACCCCGACTACGCCCTCTTCAACCCTGTCGCCTCCGATAGGACGACTTTCCACCCAAATAGTCTCAGCCAAGTCAACCCCGAACACCTGATGTTCTTCAAGTTCATCGGACGCATCATCGGAAAGGCGCTATATGAGAATCGGGTGTTGGATTGCCATTTCAGCAGAGCCGTATACCGGAAGATACTCGGAAAATCGGTCTCTCTCAAAGACATGGAGACGCTGGATCTCGATTATTACAAGTCGCTGGTCTGGATGCTCGAGAACGACATAACCGATGTTGCATTTGAGACCTTCTCCTTTGAGGTCGACAAGTTCGGCGTAACCGAGACTATTGATCTCATGCCAGGCGGGCGCGACATCGCAGTCACGGAAGACAACAAGCACGAATATGTTCGTCTTGTTGTGGAATACAAGCTTATCAAGTCCGTCCAGGAACAGCTCGACCATTTCCTCGAGGGATTTCACGAGATCATCCCCTCTCACTTGATATCAATCTTCAACGAGCAAGAGCTTGAGCTTCTCATTTCAGGCCTCCCGGAGATCGACGTGGACGACTGGAAGAACAACACCGAGTATCACAACTATCAGCCTACTTCTGCGCAGATTCAGTGGTTCTGGCGGGCGGTCCGCAGCTTCGACAAGGAAGAGAAAGCCAAGCTACTCCAGTTTGTCACCGGAACCAGCAAGGTCCCTCTCAACGGCTTTAAGGAGCTGGAGGGTATGAATGGACACGCCAAGTTTAACATCCATCGTGACTACAGCAGCAAGGAGAAGCTGCCGTCTAGTCACACCTGCTTCAATCGTAAGTTACTTCCCCCTTCAACGTGTGACTTTGCGGAGACGCATGCTAACCTCAACCGCAGAGCTTGACCTTCCGGAATATGAGAGCTACGAGCACCTGAGACAACAGATGTACACTGCCATCACTGCGGGAAGCGAATACTTTGGGTTCGCTTAAATGTAACGTTTCGCGTGTAATAAGGGAGTTTGAGCGAGTTCTAGGCGCATGGAGCGTTGCAACGGCGCAAGGGAGCGAGCTTGCAGTGCGCAAGAAGCTCGCATGCATATTGGGTTGCGTCTGGTTGCTTCAACCACTGGTTGCAAGAGATGATGGGAGTGCAGGCCCATCATCAACGCAACGAGGCAGCTTCTCGGTGTCACTAGGAGGAATCGTAGATACAATGACTTTAAGCTGTGTGTAGTTTATGAGGCAACGTTCATGCATAGCTGCCTATACATCGCTTCACGTCCGTCGCGTTGGTGTGTAGCATATGCTGTCCATATCGCTGTTCTCGGGAAGACCGTGACATTGATTGCACTGTGGAACGACGGTCGCTGTACACTGTGTGTGATCACGTGCACAGGGCGCGCTTGCTC